TTGGGTGTATTCGGGGGTGGGAAGTGATGAGTGGGAGTTTGATTTGAGAAGTGGGTTGCTTTGTAGGGTGTAAATGGGGAACCATTTGTCTAGGTTGTGATGGGTAGTTATTTTCTCTTCTTTGTGTTAGTAGTATGTGTGTGTATATAGTTCTTTTAGCAGTATGCTATGATATAGATATTTGAGCTTTAGTATCTGTTACTGTCTGCTTAGCTGAAGACGTAACCTAGGTAAACGAGTATACGATGCTATTATAAATGTAGACAATTGAACAATTATATATACATATCACGATGATATACAACAATATATGTACTCCCCCAACCCAACCACCTAATCCTCCTGCATCAACCGCTGCATCTCACCCCCATCCCGAACATGCAAATCAAAGCTCAACTCACCAACCAAGCTTTTGACATTCCTATAACAAGAAACATCATCAGTAAAACATATCCACATCATATCAAATATTATAAAGAAACAGGGGGAATCAACCGCATACCTCAACAAATCATCCAACGAGCAACTAACCACGGACCTCAAAACCTCCAGACAAACAAACGCCGAGAACGCCGGATCCTCCACGTGTCGAATACTCAACAACTCCTCATCAATGCGCTGCAGCTCCCTCGCAAGCGGGAATGTATCCCCTGTTTCAAGATACGGCGGTAACGGCTGAGAATTCAGCACCGAAGCGGACAAGTGGCAGAGTAGGGAGGTGATTTTGTGGGATTTGAAGCCGCTGGATTGGAGGGCTATTGATGCCAGGCGGGAGATCCATTTATTATTATTATTATTGTTGTTGTCAGTGGGGTTGGTTGTGGTAGTGGACAAAGCATCCATGTTCTGAGTGGTATGCGCCATCAACGCCATGCTAGTGAGCATGCGCTGGATCTGCGAGATGATTTCATCGTAAGTTGCACGGGGGAATTTCCCACCGATAGGCGGCTCGAAGGAACTGAAGTGGCTGTGCATGCGGAGGCTGTTTAGGAGGAGCATTTCTTCTTTAAAGACTTTGTGGCGGGTGCGTTGGAGGGTGGAGGATGCGGAGCGGATGTCGCCGTCTTCGGTGGTGGTGGTGTTGGTGTCGAGTTCGCCGGTGAGCCAGAGCTCGATGGTCGTGTGCATGCAGCTGTAGAATTTGGCGAGGACGAAGAGTCCGCGTCCAAGGGTCTTGCGGAGTGTGGTTTTGGCCGTTATGGGGTAGGGGAAGATGACCCAGAAGAAGGAGATGGCGCAGCCGGCGGCGACGGCGGCGAGTTTGTATGGGCCGAAGAGGTAGATGGGATAGTAGGGTTGGCCGTTGGAGGTGGCGACTTCGATGCCGAGTTTGCGGACCTGGTTGGGTTAGAGTGGGTTGTTTTGAAGAGGATTTGGGAGGGATTACTTGTAGCTCGTAGCCTACGATGACGTTTAGAGTGACGATGGCGATCACGGAGGCTCCGAAGTATTGCGGGACTTTGACGTAAAAGTAGTACTGTTGGTTGAGTTAGTAGGTAGCTGGTATGTAGAGGATGCTGGCTTACCTCGAAGACGTTGGCGAGGTAGAGAAACACTATGACACCTGGAGTCTTCTCATCCACAATATACCAGACGATCAAACTCAGAACTAACGAGACGGCTGTGGCTACGATGCGCGCAACGAAGCCGAACATTGTCTGTCCGCTGGTCGGGTTCATCCCAATCACGATAACAATCATGGCCCAGATGCATCTTTGGTGGACGAAGAAGTCCTGCGTTTTGCGTAGGTATGCCAGAATACCAACTGAAAATGCAGCTGCGGCAACGCGGAAGCCGAAAATACTTTGCTCGGAACTGATAATGTGCGATAAGTAGCGGAGCGCCAGGCTGCCTTTCTCAAACCAGTTGGCAGGGGGCAGGTGCTCAGGATCTGGGAAGTTGTTCGCTTCGGTCTGGCCAAGGGCAGCTGGATCGACATGAGATGATTGTCTCCGATCCGGAGCAGACTTGTTGTCGTGGTTGGTATGAAGGGAAAGCCATTTACGGATGGTGTTGAGTCTGGGGAGAATCAGTCTGCTGCGCTTCATAGTGCCATCCTGGATTCGGTCATCAGCGAAACGGATCAAGTCAAGGGTCGCGGTCAGTAGGCTGTCCTGCAGATGCCCCATGAACAGGATGAGAAAGAACTCCTGCTTGACGTCAGGGTCTGTCGCAATGGCTGTCAGGTCCTCTTGGGAGGTGGCATCATCCGGCTTCTCTGAGACGGTAAACGCCTCAAGGGAGGCAAGGTTTCTTGTGAGGTCCTTGCGGCGTGAGAAGTAGTTTCGCATTTCTTGTTCGAAACGCTGTGCAAATTGTGGCTCCAGTGGTGTGAGTAGTTCTCCGGTCCCTTCCTCATCTGCTTTTCCTGAGTATTGTTTCTCGATTTTCTTGCGCTTAGATAGCCCAAGTGCCAGCAAGACATATTGTAATCCAACTGTCGCCAACCTGGAAGAGTCCACGAGGCGGTCTTGAAGTGTTTGGGCTACCTTTTGCATCTCGGATTGTTTCACAGAATCCTCCTCGGCGTCGAGCGATCCCAAACTGCTGTTGCGCGTTCCTTCGTTTCTGACAATCATGTCCAGAACCTCAGGTAGCATAGCCATTCCTGAAAGGGGCAGCAGAATACCCCGTAGCAGCCCTCCAATACTGCTCAGGTCGCCTGCTGATAGTTTTCCCCATGCAATTTCGTCTTTCGAATAGAGCAGGTCTGACTGTAGCTTCCCGTGTAACCCGTTCAATTTAGTTATTGATGCTGTCAAGCGCTTCTGCTTCGCTTCCAGATCCGAACTGGGACTGTTTTGCATGTCTCGCATACTTCGTGCTGTGCGTGTCCTCTTCAGAAGGCCTTGACTTCCGGTCCATATCTCTGACGTCCCCTTAACAAAGTCGATTTGGGCCTGGAGTACGTTATCGATCTGCGCGACGTAACCCCTGATATCATCGAAGACATGTCCGCGACTAGTGATTGGTAGTATAAGGAGAGAGACTCCGGTGGCAATGGCAAACCCCAGCATAAACCCCTTCAACAGTCTGGAAACGAATGAAAGACCATCGGATAGTGTGGTAAACATGCCACCGCGAGTGATAGTAACAGAAGAAAAGATGGAGAAAGCTACCATAGGATCCTGCAGCTCCTGCGGGCGCCAAGCACGGATAGTATTTGCGGCCCTGCATAGGTTCAGTGAAACTGAAAATGCTATCAAAGTAGAAATTGGACATACCAAATCATGAATATCAGCCATATAGCGGACACGGCACAGGCATCGCTACTGAAGCCATTGCGGACGGCCTCGCTAGCATCTGGAGGCGTGTTATGTTGTCTCGCTCGTACGGCGCAGAATATCGCTAAGCAGCAGAGAGAAGCTGATACACATGTTGACAAGAGATCATAAAACATAATCCGCATGAACTTGGCCCGCGGTGTCAGTGCTTGAGACAGGACCGAAATGAGAGCTGATAGATAACCGATCGTGAGGGTGATGTCGGATATAGCACTACTCTGATAACTGCTAGATATCAGCTACACTTATTCGAGAGATTGATACGCAAGATGGCCTACATCGCTATCACAATTGTCGGTGGCAAAGCGCCCTTCAGCATGATAAGGAAGGACCGAGTGTCCAAGTCGAGCCGCTGTCTCCATGTCAAGGGATTTAGAATACTGTTGAAAAGTTTTAGTTCATCCCAACTACACAGATACTGCGACAGTTGCCTACCTTAGGAACCTGGCCATTCTAGCCCCGCCAGCGCTCCTTGAGGGAGCCATTGCGCATTGACAGCTGTATTCGGACAGCTAAGGTTACAGGAAGCAGGATACTGCGTATGTCCGCATATGGGCTGATTAAATAAGGACTGTAGATTTAGATGAAGAAAATTCTCTCTTCTGATTCTCTAAGCTCGCCGAAAGATCATCGATCGAGCCGGGCTGAGTGACGGCCGCATCCGGGTCGGGTTGCCGTGCCTGGATCTCGTGACGCGTGCCGAGCCAAATGCCGATAGAAGAAGGTTTCTTCTTCACGGGGCGTCCGCATCATTATCGGCTGGGGATTTCGGCCATCAGATAGCTCTTGACTGAGATTTGAGGCTGACATGGTTGGAGGAATAGTAGGCGCGATTTCTTTATGGACTTCCGTAGCTGGTCAGATTGGCTGATTGGCAGTATCAGGTGATGCCAAAATACATAGTATACGCAAGAGTTAACTGTTGAGAATCTAGTCTTTTGGGCGAGCAGTAACCTTGCGAGTGGACAATATCATTTCCAAAACTTATCGTCATCTCAATTCGAGCAGTGAGATAGGGTCACTAGCATATTTTATTCGTCTTGATAGTAACTCCCCGACGAGCCAGTATAAAGTAGAGGAGAGAATATGAAGCGGACGATAATGTGAGCGGATGAAACCTTTGCCGTCGCAGCCCTCCGCATACAGTCACGTGACCTATACACTGGCTGTCGCTGCATGCTTTCGGGGAGGACTAATGATGCTTTGGCCATAGGATGACTCGTGTTCTACGATAGAGCCAATTTGCAATGAATGGAACAGGTGCTGGAATGGTTGGATGACATTACTCCAGCGCGACATGATGACGAGTGGACGGACACATCATGCCTGTAAAGGTACCAGCGTACGCTAGGACATCACCCCGCATATGTGCTCTGGTCGTGGTTACTATTCTTTGTGCTTCTACCCACTGGCCAAGACGGTCAGATGCACTGACATCCGGACATGCATCTTCCAAATTGGACGCTGTTGCGGGGTTACGAGGCGCGCTGGGCCGTCATGATCTCATCGTATCCAGAATATCCAGATATACTTTGTTGAGAAACAATGAAGAAGACCAGAGTTGTCTGGTTCTCATTCCATTTACAGATGCCAAGCCGGAAACGCAATAAGCGACAATGATGTGAAACTATAATGATAGGATGGAATCTGTCCGAAGGCACCGTCAATATGAACTCAATGCGTCGATGGCAGTTCTATCACAACGGTCCACGGCACAGCCATAGCTTCTCGCTCAGCCACACTGCTGCGGAGACGGTTGGGGATGACGAGTCCATGGTCTAGATCGTGAGTCAGCTGATCTTAAGGAACAGCGCTGAATGGCCAAGATAGACGTATGAGAGAGATGCTGAAAGTACGTTGTACCGTGAACACGTATTGAGCGACGAGAAGACCTGTCAACATTCCGGGGGGATTCTGACGCTGACGAAAGCTCATTGAGCCTTTGCAGGGACAAGCTCATGTGACGCGTTACCCAAAGCTGTTGGCTCCCCTGTAAAGTACGGGTATGGGATACCGGAATCCGGAGAAATGCTACGGAAACGAGGCTGACTCCTGACGTAGTGCTGACCAATCAAGAACGAGCCACTAGTGGACCTCGGGGCAGGCGCAGGAAACCAGCGGGTCTGATTGGAGGGTTTCTCGGGGAGAAGATTTGGGGGAAGAGTTTTATCTGTTGAGAAAGACAGGTGGACTTGGCAAATCACTTCCAAGCCCGCCCGTTCTGGCCTCAATTCTCGGTCGGGGTTATGAAATTCACAACTTCCAGTCATCGTTGTGTGTGTCTGTGTTCTGTTCTATCCGTTGCGTAACAGGGTATCTTACCCCCTTACCTCTGCAAGCCACGGCACTCTGAAATAGAAGCTACGCAATCGAATAATGTAGATAGTCTCATAAACAACTGCTGTGCCTTTCAACCCTAGTTTCGCTGGCCCCACTGTTGATGTCGTAGGTGTGCATCTCATAGACGGATTCTGGAAAAAGGTGAGATGGATTGAGATTTGCCCCTATGGATCCGCGGCCCAGGGGTGGAGACCTTTATCCCATCGAGCGGCCCAAAAATAATAGTGGCTATCTGATTCATCATTGATATTATTCTCTGTCGACTGACGAACGGAGAAGTCCCGCCCGTGATCGCTGACATCTCCGAGTCCGAATTTGGAAAAATAGCCGATGACACCATTGGAACCCAGTTCTCCGAGCTCTGGTCGGAAATATCACAAGAGGAGATGACCTCAGCAGTACTTGTTGGGGTAATCTGCGTAGGTACCTATCTAAAAGTGATGTGATAGGATGTTAGAGCAACTGTTGGCTACGATTGATAAGGTGCAAGGTGGAGACCAGCTGCGTGTCGAGGCGACGGCAATTCACTGCGACTCGACTGCTGCGAAACGGGGCGGACCATGGCTCCAGTTCAGAATAAGGTCAGGATCAGGATGATCATCCTGCTGTCTTGGCAAGCATCATTGGTCCTGCTTCCATGCCACAGGGCCTCCCCCCCGTCCCAGAAAGGTTGATTTCTCCATTCCCTTATAATAGTCCGGTCGCGCAGGTTACTTCCAGAGACCCTCTCTTCCTATCTATATTCTCCTTCCTGAAGCTTGGCTTGCTTCTTCAGTTCCTGTGTTTGACACAGCTTCCTCTTCACCAGTTTATCACACACGTCTTATCGAGGGCCCCTCTTGCCTTCTTTATCTGATCCTTTCCGTTCCTGGCTCTGAAATACATGCGTGAGTGCTTCTCCCTATCTGCCTCCTATCGCCATCCCTTCCCTGGCCCACTAGAGGCCCTCACACGATTTCATTCATTTGACATCTCATCGATGATTGTATCTATCTTGACCCCCCTGACTAACATTCTATCTCTTTGCTATGCAGACCGGATTCACTCGTGGGCGAAAGCTCACGCGTCTACCCCGAATAATTCCCAGGGTCAAAACCAGTCTAACACCCAGTCCTCTGAGGACGCTTCGGCTCAAGATGCTCAAGTGAAAGAAGGTATACGTGACCCGGCTAGCCCGGAGTCGGAAAAAGATGCCAATCAAACCACTGAGCGCCCACTGTTCGTCCGGATGAAGGATGGAATTGTTCGCTTCACCGGACACACCAAACGCGCCCTGTGCCACAGCTGGGTCAATGTGCTGCTCGTCTTCGTCCCTGTCGGCATTGCGGTCCAGGCCGCTGGACTCAATCCAGGCCTGGTCTTTGCCATGAATGCGATAGCTATCATCCCCTTGGCCGGTCTGCTCAGCCATGCCACCGAGTGTGTCGCCAGTCGATTGGGTGACACCGTAGGTGCGCTCATTAACGTCACCTTTGGAAATGCAGTAGAGTTGATCATCTTGTATGTTCCCGAATCCACCCATTTACCCCTGACTGTTGCTAACGTTTCGGTAGCATGTAAGTTGTTGCTTATAACAGCATGTGCACACACAAATACTAATCACAGCGAGTTCGTTCAGTATTGCTCTAGTCAAGGTGAGTCAACTGGTTCTGCAACAGACTCAAGGATCGCTCTAACTTTTTCCAGAATGAGATTCGGATCGTCCAAGCATCCCTGCTGGGATCCATCTTAGCAAACCTACTGCTGATCTTGGGTATGGCCTTTCTGTTGGGAGGCTTGCGCTTCCAGGAACAGGTAAATCTGCCAGCAACCTGAGCCGTACGCGTTCGCCAAACTAACATGTGCCAGATCTATAATAGCACTGTCACGCAAATGAGTGCATGCCTCCTCAGTTTGAGTGTCATGAGTTTGCTCTTGCCGGTATGTCTGCGCATCCCTCCGGTTTACCCTATACTTGCTGACGTATCCAGACGGCGTTCCATGCTTCCTGGTCGGACGCCGGAGATGCAGATAAATACACACTCAAAGTTAGCCGTGGAACAAGTGTTGTAAGTAGTATCAAATGCCAATCATGCCATACCTTTCTAATTTTTCGATCAGGTCTTGCTCCTGGTGTACGTTTTGTACATCATATTCCAACTCAAATCCCACGCCTATCTTTACGCCAGTATTCCACAACAGATCATTGATGAGGAATCTCACCCCGGTGTTCTGGCTGAATTCATGAATAGTTCGTCCGACTCGAGCAGTTCATCGGATGAGTCTGTGGATACGACAACCTCCTGGTCCACCGCCAAGCGTATAAAGAGAGCCATGAAACATAGGCGTCATCGCAAGTCGAGCACCAGCTCGCATGGTACGGTCTCTCCACAGTCATTCCGTAAGAAGTCCTCGGCCGATATTCCTCCTGCAGCCGTTATAGATGAGCATGCTGGTTCTGCGGGTGACCTGAGTGTCACTCAAGCCGACGGGTCTGGCTCATTTGTCATCGATTTTGGAGATGACAGCCGATACGATGCCGATCATGAACCTCAGACCCGGGACTTCGGACAACCACAGGACAAAGCCTCCAAGGAGGATCGAAAGGCCAAAAGGCGTGAGCGACGAAAGCAGCGTCGTGCCGAAAAGGACAATACCGCTACATCTGTGAAGGGCACAACTGTGACCGGTCGCCCATCCATGAAGACATCCCAGACAGAACCAGCCTTGGATCATCCTCAGCCTCCGGTGGAGGTTGGAGAAGCAACCGAACCTGCCAAAAGGCGATCGCCCTTCCGTCCAACCATCCCATCTCTATTAAGCAACACTGTTTTCTCGAGCAACTTGGCCGCTCCTAACTCGACGGTGCCCGCAAGTCCCTCGAATCCCTATGGCCTTCGACGAACGCATTCTCTACCCTCTTTCACCAACCGCCCTCCACCACCAGGAAATGCCGTTCAGTTTGCCCGGGGTGCTTCTCGCATGCCCACGGCCGTGGCCAACAACCCAATTGAAGCGGTCCCCGAGCAGCCGGAACCTGAAATGTCTCGCACCGCAGCAGTGGTGATGCTTCTGGTGTCGACCGGACTTGTCGCAGTGTGTGCGGAGTTCCTCGTCGACGCTATCCCCACCATGATCGAGAGTTCGTCTGTCAGTGAAGCCTTTATCGGCCTGATCATCCTCCCTATTGTTGGCAACGCCGCCGAGCACGTGACCGCTGTCAGTGTGGCCACCAAGAACAAGATGGACCTGGCAATCGGTGTATCGGTGGGAAGTAGTATCCAAATCGGTATGTTTCTATTTGTTTCTTGTCTGATAACAGAGGCTAATTCGTCACAGCTATTTTTGTTACGCCACTGGTGGTCATCCTGGGTTGGTGTATGGACAAGGACATGTCCTTGTACTTCACGCTATTCGAGACCATCTGTCTGTTTGTCACAGCCTTTGTTGTCAACTTCCTGGTCTTGGATGGCCGAAGCAACTATTTGGAAGGGTCTTTGCTCATTGCAGCCTATGTCATCATAGGGTAAGTTGAATTCTCTCTAGGGTCGCGTTTATTCAGTGGCTAACGAGCTTCAAGTGTTGCTGCGTTTTATTATCCTGGTAGTGGACAGTCCAGCGATCTTGGCACTGCTGGAGGATAAGCGGCTGGCAGGGGTTCATTAAGACCTATGCCATAGCACCGGGTGTTTTAATACCCGACTGCACAGTGGTGGTGGAGTAGGGGGGGTGGTGGTGGCTAGTGAGCTACGGAGGTGGGTTCGGAGACATGGGAAGAAGACGGAGGGTTTATGTTAGATGGTGGGCGAGAGGAGGATGGTTCCATTAAACGAGATTGCCAATAATGCTGCCTGGTTTAGTCTAAACAATTCAGAATGCAAACTACCACTTCTCGGAAATGTTCTTTCTTATGGATTGCGGGATTTTCTGCAGCACCAGTACGACCATTTGATACCCTTAAATCCCGCTTCGATGCAACAATATCTAATACATCGCCTGCCAAGCCGAGTAGATTTCCTGGCGCAGGAGTAGTACTTTCTCCGCGCATCCTGTCGATATGGCGCAGGATCTAACTGTAGGCAACGAGGCACTGATACTTTCTTCTCAAGTAATGCGTCAGTAAGTACGCTCTTGGCGCAGTGTTGTCAAGACAGGTCCGACAGCGATGACTGCATCTGGAATGCACAGCGACAGATGTGGCTGAGCCTGTCATTATTACGGTGTACCACTAAGGCTAACAGTGGATGTACAGCCACTCGGTAAGACACACGTGGCTGCTTCGGTCAGGGGCTATCGGAGGGGCTAGTCTTGGCGTAATCAATGGACGTTCCAGATACAGCGGCTACTACAGTACTAGTTTGCTTTTGCGCCGTTGCTGCATTTCGCTTAGGGAGGCTCGCTTGGAGGCAATATTCTCTTCTTTAGCATGATGCAGTTATTCAATATGAAATCTCACTTTAAGGTGGCTATGCTCAACCGGTTGAACCACCCGCCTTCTGGAACCCTACCCAACGGGGAAGACATAAAACCCGCTGGATGATGATCGATGATACGGGGATGATACGGAGTGGGGTTGAGACTGTGGCTGAAGGGATATCATGTATTCCGATTGGCTGGGAAGACCAGTTCCACAGTACCAGCCCTGTGTGGCGCCAAGCAACCGAAAAGGGGAGAGTCGGAGGAACAAGTCAGACGGAGAATTATTCTTAGCATTGATTCGATTTGGTTGGTTTCATTTCATGAGTGACTGACTGCATTGCATGGCTAAGAGCGAACTATTAGCTAAGTCTGCTAGGCATCAACGCCCCTCCATCTGACGCATCTTGCTGCCTCTCTGCAGCTGGTTACTTGCCATTGTACAATCATCATCAGCATGCCTTCACCAGGGTACACCCGTCCAGCCACTCTGTCCAGTCCATCTTGTGGTATTTGTGAATAGAAAATGCGTTTCATTCTAGACTCCCGGTTGATCCAGGGATCCACCACCCTTCAGGGGTCATGATACCGTCCATGGTTTACGTCTCTGCCTAATCCCGTTGTGCATCTCCAGACTGCCAGATCTACAGCCTCCCAGTCACCACTCATCCACCCGACTATTGACGCTTCCCCATCCCAGCTAATAACCCAGTGGGGAACCCTTCTCCTTACTCTTAGCGCCTGTCTGGGTCCCGATGGGCTGAGTGCGAATCCCTGGGAGCCGTTAATCCCGGCCTAACTGTTACTTACGCGCCAGTGGCAGGGTGTGAAGTCGAAGAGGGGCCACCCCCAATGATGCATCCGTGTCCAAAGTCCAAACTTCCCCCCTCCACCTGACAGGGTCTCAGGAGCCGCTTTGAATATTTAAGGGTCTTTCATCCTTCCCTTATTCTCTTCTTCCCTCTCATCCTTTTTACCTTTCTCTCCTAACTTCCTAATCCTTCCATAACCACCATGTCTTACTACCCCCCACCACAAGAACCCTACTACGGCGGACGCCCTCCATACGAGCGTCCGCCATACGACCGTCCTCCCTACGAGGGCGGTCCTCCCCCGGAGCGGCCCCCCTATGACCGTCCTCGTTACGAGGGTTCTCCTTACGACCGCCCTTCCTATGAGCGCCCCCCTCCAGAGAGATACAACTCCGGTCCTCCTCCGCCGGAGCGCCCTCCCTACGACCGTCCCCCATACGGTGACCGGCCTCCCTACGAAGGCGGCGAGCGCGGCTTCGACTCTCCTGCTCCTCGTCCTCCCTACGAAGGTGGTGAACGCGGCTTCGACTCTCCTGCTCCCCGTCCTCCCTACGCCAGCCCTCCTCCTTCCGCTCGTCCTCCTCCCGTCCCTCCCCCTCCTCTTCCCATGGAATGGGCCCAGGAGTGGGAGCCCAACCTCCGCCGCGCCTACTACGTCCACATGCCTTCCGGCCGCACAGAATGGGAGCTTCCCGCTGACATGTCCCGCGACATGCCTCCCCCTGGTCCTCCCCCGGCCGGTGGTCCGGGCTACTACGCAAGCCCCCCTCCGCCGCAGGAGGGAGGGTACTACCCCGACCCCCAGGCTCAGCAGATCTCCGAGGAGGAGCAGAAGAAGAAGGACCGTAAGAACATGCTTATGGGTGGCGCAGCTGGTCTGGCTGTTGGTGCTCTCGGCGCTGCATTCATTTCCCACGAGATTCGTACGTCCCCTTTTCCTTTCAATCATGACCACATCCATGGTCATGATATAACTGTATACTAACGAGAACAATAGATGAACACGAGGAAAAAGAGGAGGAAGAGGAGCGTGAAGAACAACAGTCGTATGACTATGACCGGCCGCCTGTCGTCTACGAGCGTGAAACTACTATCATCGAGCGTGGAGAGGAGCCTGCATATGATTACGAGGAGGATGGATGGTAGATGCGGCATACCTGTCTCTGCTTGTTAATAAACAAATTCTATTCGCATAGCTTTCGGGATTGTTTAGCTGTATCTATTATGCATTTAACTCATACCTTGTTCAAGGAATATATTTGACACAAAAAGATGTCTGGGGCGTAGATGTGTCTTGACATGATACTCAATTTGTAGTTGGAGATGTATGTCGCCTCGGCGGTCAGTTTCTTGCGCTATCGATAACTTACAATACTTGCTGTCGATATGATATTATCATAGTATCTCTGGCATTTGTCACAACGCACTAATAATGAGAGTACCCTGTACACAATGATACAATGAACTATGTTGAGTGGATACATAATAATAGTACTATAGTAGCTACTGTTCGACATATATCCACCCTTAAACTCATCACATCCATACACGGTATCTCATCCCCCCACCGCAATACTACAAATACTACAGGTCCATCTAAGCAGTACTACATACATACTATACAAATTCCCTCTCCCCCCTAACACACCCAATAACTAACCACCCCTACTTCCAACAAACAATCTCCCCATGCAACAACCCAAACCACGCCCTCTCACACTCCACAAACTCCTCCCACCCCCTCACAACCGCCTCCAACTGCTCTTTACTCGCAAACCCTCCCTCCAGCGCCTGCGTCGCAAACCCCGAATTCGCCGCCCTCCCAGCCATCGAACCCCCCCAATACCTCCGTTCTTCCGGACTACTAAAGCACCACGACCCCGCCGTCTTCTTAATCCTCTCCTGCACAAACCCGGCCTCTTCCGCCCACACATGAATCCTCGACCCAGGGTGCGGATTCCCACCCTTCTCCCTCGCCATCTTCGTCGTCATATCCAACCATAGCTCAATCCCCTTATTCTCAGGATACCACGTCATGGCACTGGATTCGCGGGCCGCGATAATCCCCCCGTCGGGTTTAGCCACGCGGCGCATTTCGCGCAGCGCGAGCACGGGGTCCGCGATGTGTTGGAGCACTTGGTGCACGTGCACCAGGTCGAAGGTGTTGTCTGGGAACGGGAGAGCGTGGATGTCGGCTACTTGGAAGGTGATGTTTGTGATGCCTTGTGAGGAGGCGAGCGTGCGTGCTTGCTCCAGTGGGTCCGGGACGTATTCGACGCCCGTTACGTGGCCGGAGGGGACGTGTCGCGCGAAGTCGATCGTGATGCTACCGGGGCCGCAGCCGATGTCGAGGATGGTCATGTTGGGTTTGAGGTAGGGGAGGATGTAGGGGACGGAGTTGCTGAGGGTGCGCCAGCCGTGGGTTTGGAGGACCGCGGGGGCGTGGTCGGTTGTGTAGGTTGTCATTGTTGGTTGGATATATGTATGTAGGTTGATGGTGTTGGTTTGAGGGTTAATGAATGTGTAGTTGTTTCTTTGTGTTATTTGTGAAGTGAAGTTCAATGGCAATTGCTGGTGCCCATGGGGAAATTTATATGGACGAGGGCCCACCTATGCTGTCATCCCCGCTCCGTAGGTCGGAGTTCCGAAGTTGAACTCCGGGGTGGTGGTGTATAGGCACATTATCGGTGGGTGAGTTGCTTTGTTGAAGTCACAGTGGGGTTTTGGGTTGGTACAACTTTGGTAGGTCTTTCTGTTTGGAGGAGGCTGTTCCGCCTGTTTTGGGTTGGGGGGATCGTATAGTTGGTGGGGAGTTGGGTGTTTGAGGAGCGACGGAATTCCGAATGGTGGGGTGACTTGAGATCCGAGGTGTAAATTGAGGTACACCGCCTTCACACGTCATGCTTTCGATTTGAGGGTGAGGATGTGTATTGTGAGCTGATGTATTTATATTACTTCTAAGTTCAGGTGCAATTTTTATGCTGCTCATTTTAGGCACAATTGGCGTGGTCTACTCTAAGTGAGGTGTTGACCGGACTGTTGGTATATAGTTCGACTCACTCAAACTGTTGTGTATAGTAAGGAGAAAGATCTCGGTATGATAAACTTATTATTGGTTAGGAAGAGAAGAAAAGAGTTAAGTACTATAGGGGTAAGGGAGCTGGATAGAGGGTGAGCTACGCAGGCAAGTCCAGACCATGAGAGTTAGACTATGCTAACTGTGATAAGGTTGACACTAGTGTGGGTACAAAAGAATATTAAATAGGCTGATTGTTACTACGGGATCGCACCCCTGTCGGGATGAAGTGACTAGTACTACTTGTGCGAAAGCCTTACTGGTGATACTAGGTCACAGTAATCTTGCCACTGTCTTCGTTAGATTATGCAGTTGTCATAGGCTGAGATTTGCTTAATATATCTGATCCACATAGTCTTATACTGATCCCGACTGTCAGTTCCGAAGCAATGAAGACATTGCAGCTTCAACTGCAATTGGGTCTAATAGTAGTATTTATGTACTATGACCAACTATTAAGAAAACGCTTTCTGTACTCAAGAAAAATAGGATTAACATAAGAAGGTAGAATCTCTCGTGGTGTATATCATGCCACATGATAATACATGATATATAAACAACGTTGTCAAACCCGGTGGTATCATGTCGTAAACTCCGTATTCCATATATTATATTGTACTAAAACATGATCAGCATTAGCAACCTCATGACTATTGCAGCATACATACCAAGCGTCTGCTTCCAAAAACAGATACTAATGATCATGCGACGACGGCTTCTGAAGACGAGGATAGTAGAACAGGAAGAACACCACGACAGCTAGCAAGACCACGAGTGTCGGAAGGAACATAAACAGAAAGAGGAATAGACTCAGGCCTAAAGCGGCGCTATGTCCTGGGAAGAAACGACGAGCCATGAGATCAACAGTCGAAGCAAGCATCGATTCCATGGGATAGAAAAGGGTGATGTTCCACGCTAGTGGTCGAAGATCCGTCTAGTAAGGACTAGTGGACAAAGAAACAGGACGATCAGGGTCTTTTGATGTGATATTTATATCGTAGGTTTAATGAAGTGGCAGATAGAGGCTGGATCCTCGGCCGGAGCTCACGGAATGATGAGTGATGCTGCAGTGAAGCTGGCTGGAGTGGAGCGCGCTGCGCAGTGGGCAGGCCGTTATCTCTGACTTTATTATTGCGGGGACGTAGCCGGACCACGCGAGTCGGGTTAGCAGCTGTAGTCTAGATGGTTTGACTCGTTACTGCCGGACACAGACTGGGGGTCTGGGAGGTTGACGGGGGAGATTCGAGCCATTTGAAGTTCTGCCAATAGCTCGGTGCCTGGCCCATGAGGTTGCTTTTGGCGTCTGGAAAAGGCAAACTTGAGGTACCAGCACGGTAAGTTACATGGTAAGCTGTTGGTTGGTAACCCGTTCATTACCAGCCAAAAATGGATGCCTGCAGGGATTTGCTTCATTATTGGGCGCAGTGGAGTACCATAATTGGTTGTTGTCTTAGCGCCCCGCTGAGGGCCCACATCGACCATTCCGCTTTCAGCCGAGTCGCTGCTAAAATTGAACGGGTATTCGAAGACCAATCATTACCGGGTGACGCAAGAAGCAAGGATTGTCTGGGTCAGGCAGCAGTATTTCATGTACGGTGCGCAGGTTGCTTGAGATGCTTACAATAGCATGCTTTTAATCTCTAGAGAAAACTAGATTAAATCAAGTAAGTAATATGCGAGGGAATGATCGCGCCCATGACTGATTTTATGTATTTCAATAAGCATCGCAGTTTAATTTAAGCCCCTCGTTCTTCCCCTGTCTTGGACGCGGGGGAGTGCGTCAGAATTCCAGCACCAAACCACGGATATAACTTCGGTAATACAGGTATCAACCATTGAAGATTTCAAAGAGAGCAGACGGTGTAACAGCTGGATTGCTAATCCGGCTAGAGCCACCGCAGCGAACCAATGGTCGTGTCGCCCTGTAGGGCTGAGGAGGACTTGGCACGGCCCTCGGGTAAATCAAAGGCAAGCTGGCCAGTCGAAGGGATGGGGCATCGTGAATTTCGTTGTATCGTGAGTACGCTGAACAACTGATATCATCCCGCCTGGATGGACACATAACTAATTAGTATCCATTAATAATCAGAATGCCGCTGTGAAAATCTCACGCTACGCCGTAAAAGAAAGTAGTTCTTCCCATCGCAATCAATCAGGCGAGCGTCATCCGTTCTATCCCTTGCAATCCTTCTCTTTTCCTTCCCTTTTTCCCCCCCCTTCTCTTCAGTTCCCCATCGGCTTTCCCCCTCCCTTCCCCATCCCACCGAGCTCGGATGCATCCGTGAGTCCCCGCGGAGATGAGGCTATCTCGTTCGTTATCAATCGCTCGAATCTGATCTGGTATTCTTTGCTTTTTTTCTTCCCCCTTTCACCCCCTTCTGTGAATCTTCCTGTCCTTCCTTTCGTCAGTTGATCCAGGATGGGTCTCTTTGCTGGACACGGAGCCCTCGACCAGGCCGAACTGGATAATTTCGGCGTCGATTGGGTCATCCACTATTCGTTCGAAGATGTTGGTAAGCAATCATTCCTCCCAATTCCATCCGGCTGACGCCCGATCTCACACCGTCTTCTTCCCGTCCAGAGCTCTCCCAGGCGATCCAAGAGTTTCGAACTTTGATCCACGACCTTCAAGAAGCGCATCTCCAGGTACAAGTCCGCCATGGCTACGGTGCCTCCCTACTCGTCTGCATTCGAGTCCCGCCCGATCTGTTGGGCAACCTGGTACACAAATCCCGGTACGGATGATCGGTAACAACAAATGGCGCATGGTCGGGAAAGCTAACGGCGTATAGTGTCAAGGACTGGCTTCATGGAATCATCCACGAATTTCCTGAGGGCGGAGACGAGGGCGAGACTGACGCCGACACTCCTGCGGAGGCCCTCAGATCTGTTTACCATGCGGTGACATGGCAGAAGCATCTTGGAGGCGCTGGAATTACCCCCAAGGTGGGCCAATGGAAGAATATCACGGCGGCTATCCCTCTGCATGACCGCTCCGCCAACGCGGAGCTGCTCCGGAAATGGAGCCGGACTATTTTCTTGACGGCTGAGGATCTTGACGCTATTCGCGCGTTGTTTGGCGAGAAGGTGAGCACCATCAGAAACTTAGTTGGGTCTCTTTGGCTCTGTAAATATACTAACATCTCAGGTTGCTTTCTACTTTGCCTTTATCCACTGCTATTCCTGTTTCCTGATCTTCCCGGCTGTCTGGGGCATCTTCTCTTGGTTCTACCTGGGCCCCTATTCGATTACATGTGCGGTAGTGACTTGCATCTGGGGCATCGTGTTCGTCGAGTACTGGAAAACCCGCGAGCTCGACCTGAGCTTGCGCTGGAACGTCAAGGACGTAGGATTTCTCAAAGTGAACCGACCAGAATGGGTTTGGGACAAAGAATTCCAAAATCCGCACACCGGCGAGACCATTCGCGTGTTTTCGGCTCATAGGCAATTCGCTCGACAGCTCCTGATGATTCCCTTTGCGACCGTTGCAAGCTTGGCATTGGGTAGCTTGATTATCCTATCATTTGCTCTGGAAATCTTGGTGTCAGAAGTGTACAATGGCCCAATGAAGGCATACTTGGAGTTTCTGCCGACCGTCCTGTTTTCGCTCTCCTTGCCCTCCATCACCAATGTCCTGACGGAGTTTGCGAAGCGTTTGACCGACTACGAGAACTACCGCACGCAGGATCAATACGACCTGGCACAGACAGCCAAGACATTCGTGATGCACTTTATTACGGCCTTTTTGCCCACGCTACTGACCGCATTTGTATACGTCCCGTTTGGAGGCAAGATCGTGCCCTATCTTGACACTCTTCGCTCTTACGGTCTCCTTTCCGCCAACATTGCCCGTGAAATCCACATTGACACCTCCCGACTGCAACAGGAAGTGATCTATCTCTCTGCGACCGCTCAGATCCTCAACTTCGGCGAGGAAATTGTGCTTCCCTATGTCAAGCAAACCCTGATGCACAAGTGGCGTGACTGGCGCGATGGTCGGGACTCTTCGCGTCCTCGTGGCTACTCTCAGAGGACCGATCAACTCCTAGTCGATGCTCCGGAAGAAGCTGGTTTCCTCTCGCGTGTCCGTGACGAAATCGACGCGGATGAGTACGATGTTCATGAAGATATTCTGGAGATGTGCGTGCAGTTTGGCTCTCTCGCTCTATTTGGAGTTGCATGGCCCTTGGTCTCCTTGGGTTTCCTCGCCAACAACTGGCTGGAACTGCGAGGCGATTTCTTCAAATTGAGCTTGGAGTGTCAAAGACCTCCCCCCATCCGAGCTGACTCGATCGGACCATCTCTCATGGGTCTGGAAGTGCTCAGTTGGCTCGGTACCTTGTCCACCGCCGCCATCGTGTACCTTTACCGCGCTGGACTCCAGGAGGTCAACATGTCGTCCCTCCTCCTCACTCTCCTCCTTGCCGAATGGGCCTATGTTGGTGTTCGCTTCATCGTGCGAAGCGGACTCGAAAGAATTAGCTTCATCTCCCTCCGTCGCGAGGAATCGAAGCGCTACGCTATGCGCAAACGCTTCTTGGAAGCCACGTCGGGCCGGGTATCCCCTCGGGCTAAACCGCGAGTCCGGTTCCAGGACCGGGTCAGCGTTTTCTCCTCGTCCACTGATGTCCCTGGTACTAAGGAAGACTTCCTGCATCCCGGACATCACCATGAAATGGGCCGCGGTGGACGCTTCTGGTCGTGGGCTCCCAATGAGACAGCGGACGCAGGCGTTCGGCTGATCAAGGCTCTGAACACTAACATGGACGGTTCGAAGACCGGGCCTGTTAAGGGCGCCAAGGGCGCTTGATACACTCAATACACCAGTCACTCATTATTATAGATCTGTCACTCATTAATTTGATGCTTTCTGATTCAGTAACCGTCGCAGGTAGATGGTTAGAATGAGCCTGCGGGACGGAAGAATGTGGTCTGTACGTGATGATCACTAGCTGTCTTAGAACATTGTCTCCTTTTTTCTTTTTATTTTTATGTGTTCATCGCCTTGATTCTTTTTGATTCTGTATGTATACATTAGACTAGTAATAATTCAATGATGATTTCGAGATTGTTCGAGGATAAGTATCTGCGTAAACTTGCGTATGAAATCCAGGACCGTCCCCCTAGTGCCCGTAGTGCTACTTCTAGATACTATAATCTCATTTCGCCATAAATTGCTTCCCTAAATCACATTCCTGAGAATTCCATCCTCTATCTACATTACTCACTAGAGAATCACATCGCTCTTGTCACGATAGCATAGCACTGCCATTATCATTACAGTCAATTTGGTAGAGCGTTGGCAGTAGTTAGTATATCATTATCGTGATCTCGGTGCTTTAACACTATAGCAGACCACTGACGTAGTTGTTGGGTGATTCTAGCCAGCTAGCAGAGGTACAAGTAAGATAACTAAATGTAATATCAATAAATACATACTTATTTCATAAAATCTCTTAGATGTGTGAGAGGGCTTCACGGACACATATAATAATCGTGCTAAGTCGAGAAATTATACCTGGGTAGTTACATACTTACTAACAGTTTCATGAAACAATTAACAACTTAGTAGTAGCTGCACACAGATCTAACAGCTTTTACGGCTTTAAACTATCTTTATATTAACCTCACCGCGCACCCTAACGTGCCCCTATAGTGTTTAGTATCTGGTTGAGTTCCAATATGCATGGGTCGCCAAATCACTTAGCAGCATTATGCACATCCTTAACAACCGTGTCGATAACGGCTTCAAAGAACTCCGTATTCTCAATGCCTTCTTGCCATGTCATTCCCAAAACCAAAGCGCCATCTTCACCTGAGACTAAAGATACCGCTAGAGCCCCACCCAAAACATCGAGTGGCTGAGAGAACATCACCCGTGTTATCTGCGGCCGTGATGGATCTCGCCTACCACTTATCAATATTCCCAAATTCGATACTTTATAACTTGCACTTCGGTCCTTGCCTATTTTCCCCTGTAGAACATCATGGATGTTACCCGCGTATTTGAGCAAGGCCACACTAGTATTCTTGCCTTCTTGACCGAGTATTTGCTCTGTTGTTTCACGGGACTTCCTTGCTTCATTCCATGGAAAAGCTCCTGGAGGATACTGATTCATCTGGTCTCGAAAAAATCTTTCCTTGTAATCCATTACCCAGTTACCCATTGATCGGTCTGTAATCCCCCCACCTTTGTTCAGCCATCGTCGAGCTGACATAGCACCGGTTGCTTGTAGTTTCGTGTAATTGTTGGGTAAACAGTTGAATAAAGCATGTGCGACAGCTGCATGTAGAGCCGAGGTAATAGTAGTCTTTCTCTCACGACAGTTCTTCCTGAAGGCTGCAGATATAGTCGCTGGAAAGATAATTTGACGTATTCGAGTCTTTATGGGAACAAATACTTTCGGGCCCGTCCAAAGAGATGGATCATTATATGGCCAGATTTTGGCCCTGAAAAGACCATGAAAAAGGAAAGTGAAATTTGAAGAACACGGATGAAGTCCTTCCAGGTTAGGCAGCAGAGGAACCTTGGGTGAGGGAATCACCTGTTCAGGAGCCTCGCCCCTGGCTAAGGAAGCTCCTACATCATGCAGTGCTTCCAAAAACGTCTCATGGAAGGCTTTTCCTGATATCCCGTCTCCAATTGCGTGGCTGAACACATAGACTGCGGTGAAGCGCTGCTCGTTCGATTCATCAAGATCCGTTAAAACGACCAGTCTCCAATATGGCAGAGGTGCCACAAAGCCGGTTCTCTGTTGAATTTGCAGCATTTCACATAGCTCGTTGTCAGGCTCGTCTTCCTCGGGAAAGTCGCGGATGCGCCTCTGAATCGATACTGTCTGCCTTAGGTCGATTTCTGGAAGGCGCATAAACCACGTAGTATCGTCAGTGCCTTGGACTGGAATCGCGGATAGGGAAGGATGCTCGCTGATCAAAGTTTCACATGCTTTATATACATAGCTCTCAAGTGGTAGTGTAAAAGTGTCAGGCAGGATATAGGTTGCCGATACTGCTACGATGGAGTAGAGTCCGAGTTGGTTGCGCGCGACGAAGTATTTCTCCAAGGACCCTGTTGATTATTGGTCAGGTCATTTCCATCTTCCCATTATTAATTTAAGTACAGAAGATTCTTACTAACCGGCTGGACGTAGCCACTCAAAATTGTCCATTATTGTAGTTGTAGGTAATGAGGGATGCCGTGCAATCAACTCCCGAGCAACGTATACAACAAGCGGACTTGGTACCTGTTGTAAGGAAGAGAAGAGGTGGCTTAGGGTATTTGGTCCCCCTCAAATATTCACCTGGTGACAGACCGACAGACCAAGAACAGTAGTTACAATGCTAGATTTCGTTATTGCTCTCAGGGACAAGCGGAATAAAACTATATTCATTATTCAATTAATTAAACCCATAGTTGCAATGGACTGATATCAGGGCGCTAGTTTCTAAACGGAGAACTTCACAATATGCTCCGAAGGAGTAAGGAGTCCCCTACGATTATTATAGTGGCGCACATCTCGTGTCATTCTGGTTGTACTCTACGTAGTACAGTTGAAATTTGAGAGTTGGTCCGGGAGGCAACCTCTTCCTCTGGCAATTGTGATAGCTCACATTTTGGAAATCCCACTGTAGATCATTGCATGGATTATTGCATCTATCATTCTTTATCACAGGTTGATAGCTTATATGCATTAACTACATACGGAATATTTACTTCAACAAATGTGGTCGCTCATGTAAAAAAATAAAAATAAAAATAAAAATAAAAATAAAAATAAAATAGAAAAGTAGATTACCAGCATTTTGTCACATCGGATTCTCAACTTAGGCAGACCGCTATAAGACTGCTTTCTTGCAAAGGGCGTAGGGGCCCGGCCTTTTTATTTTTAGAACAGATTTTCAATTAAGGAAACATAATCATTTCCAGGGAGGGATAAGAGACAAAATATATTTGGGAATTTAGGCAAGCGCCCTGCGATAGTTGCAAGCTCGTTGCCTCCGAGTAGTATACAGTAAGTATAGGATGTGGCCCACAACTTCTTGACTAAATGCCGAGTCAAAATTGATGTGGTGTCTCATCTACCCGGTATACTAGCTTCTGTCCTCGTACTTTGCTTTCACGCAAGAGATCCAGTCCAGACAACACCCCCTTGAGCCCATATGGCTGCTTAGATACTGGATGTGTCTTTATCTTGCCCTCGTTCAGCAAGTCCTGAAAAACCGACTGCCATAGCAAGTGATGCTTCATATCAATTGGCTTGGCAGGAACCTTCTGGGGGCCCATAGTATATGGCTCTCCCACAACGGTATACGCCATTGAGACCGTCGATCGAACATCACGCCGGGGGCAGCGAAGTTCCTGCAGCGTGTGATACCGTCCCCCAGACTTGCTAGTCAGCGCTTCCCCGCAAAACTGGGCCGAGGCCGCCATTGCGACAGTGTCAAAGCACAGCTTCAGGTTATCTCTGGTATACCTCCGGATCTCTGCTGCCACATTTGGCTTGCTATAGTCAAAAACCGCATCCGCTCCGAGGCCCTTGACCAGGTCAAAATTTCTGGCCGAGCATGTCGTGATAACCTCCATCCCAGATAGCTTAGCGCATTGGATAGCCAATGTTCCGGTTGCAGTAGACCCGCCATGAATCAAGACTGCCTTTGGGGTACTAGGGCTTCGCGGCTTCCCAGGCATCGGGAGACCAAGATTCTGATATAGACTCTGGCCAACGGTCGTGTATCCGACTCCAACGGTGCACGCATCCTCCCAGCTCATTCCATCCGGAATCTTGAGCTGCCCGATCCCCTTGGCCATAACATACTGGCCAAATGCGCCATCTTCTGGCTCGACGGCATTGCATCCATGTGTGAGGCCCAATACTCGATCTCCTTTTCGAAATCGATCGGACACTTTGGGACCAACCTCTTCGACAATGCCGGCGAAGTCACAACCGACGGTACATCCATCACTAGGCACAAAGTCGATATGTTTCCAATCCGTCGGGTTGAGAGCCACTGAATCATGATGTGAGAAGGGGGAGCAGCAATTGAGGGTTACTGGATCGGTGGAGCGGAGAGGTGGATATGTTTACCTGTTACTGTTCTGACGAGCATGTAATCGTCACGCAGTCTAGGAACCGGTCGATCGGTGACCAGCCTGGCTTTTTTGGGGCCTTGCGTGACCACTGCTAGATGTGTATTCAACTTTGCAACCATGGTATATGTGGATGATAGGGATGCTCTGAGCTGAAAAAAACTTCGAATCAGGGGGGGAGGGGAAGCTTCGCTTTCAGGATACGACTTTCTTAGCTTCGGTTCTCAAAGTCTGCCAATGATTGCAAATCACCAGATATCCAGGAGATAAGGCCGTCAATATAGATTAGAAGCCAGCACCCAGTTCAGCCCATGTGACAAAATTCAGAGCAATTGAGGGGTTCATGGTAACTACCCAAGCCGCAGTAGAGGCTAGTGTTAAACATTGCGGTGTGCTTCTTGAGGCAGCTATTGAAAGGCATTTTTCCTTTATTGGCTGCGGGAGATCTGCTGTCATTACTTCGTACAAATGTCACTATTTTAATACCCATCACAACAGGCAATGCATCAAGTGGACGCTCAGGATCAACGAAATGAATTGCGCGGGAGCAATGCTGGCACATTTGACAGGTTACAGATAGCGTTGTGGCTTTGGTGCTTCACTGTGTGCCCAGAAGGCTTGTAGCTACTCTCCTTTAGTCAGTTTGTAATATGGTACCAGCCAATATACTCTGTGTGATGTACGATAGGAGAGAAAGCGGGTAGTCAATATATGATGGGTGGGTCTGATTGACACAATGCGGAGACAAGAGACAATGGTATACAATCTGACAGCACACCGTAAATAGTCGTTAGTAGTACTAATGAGTTCCCACTACATAAAAGTACTGACAGCTCAATTGATAGGCATAGGATCGGGGCCCTCCTGGTTGCAAGCCGTACGGGAAATAGGATAGATCATCTGATCGGTTCCGCACTCGATGATACAACATGAGAGAGATCCAATGAACCTGTCAAAATACCAGGAGGATCAGTCTCTCCACTGAGTCAGACTACTTACTAGGTAGTAACGTAAACCACAATCGCGCGGCCCATACAATCGCGCAGCCCATCAAATAATGCCATATAAAAGCTGCGTTGTTGATCTCTAATATCTCAACCATTATGGAATCATATGACTTTATCTTAAAGAGATAGATTATAATAATCAAAAATTTATTTTTAATATTTTTATGGATTTTAATAACTACATATAATAAATGGTAATATAAAATACCTGTAATTCACTTGTAATTTACGAATATTTCTAAATTAAATATAAATGAATTGTTTAAAAATATTTGAATACTTCTAATATATTTATTTTATTATTATTAACCTCTATCTATCATTGTAGACTTATATAAGGTGTAGTTATTGAGATATTAGAGATTAAAAAAGCAGCTTTTATATGGCATTATTTGATGGGCCGCGCGATTGTGGAATACGTTAGCAACATCAGTCCGATTTGGACGGTCAGTCCCAATCCGGTCCATCAAGGGTGTGCATCACGTAACTCTTTCTTCTTTCTCACAATTTAGTAACAATGCATTCGATACTATCCTGCATCTTCGCCCATGGGTATATATGATTTGCTGCCAAAGCTTCAGGTCGTTCGTCTGGGACAAGCTCTTGCTGATTGGACTGGGCTTAATAGGGCAGCTTCAAAGCCACATCGACAACTGCATTGAGATTGGTGACTAGCATCTGCACGGTGAGCTGCAACCCCGAGGAGACCTAGGTAGGGAGATATTGCGCATGAACATGCATCTGCAGTACCTTATGTTACTATTGATTCTTACTTGTCTTTATGAGATCGAGATCGATACTAGGGTAGACGTTCGAGGTTCGGCCCAGACCTGGTCCACAGGGTCCAATACGTTGACCCCATCCGTCCGTCCACATGGAGTATATACTCAGTGCCCTTAGTAAACATCAGGGTCTGCCACGGAGTACGCCCGTCTATCACCCCCAATGATATTCTGCCGATGATCAGCTGGGTCAGTTAACAGTTCGGATACTGGCAATGATGATGTGGTGGCCTACATGATCCACTATACTATTAAACCTAATACAGCCATAGTTTTCAAGTTGCTCCGCCCGGTCAAAGATCTTCTCTTGCTTGATATCTACGATATGAAAATTGCAGAACACGAGGCTCTCAACAATCACCCAGGCTAGCTTGGATTGGGCTTTGAAAAATTTACTGTAAGGACTTTGGTAGGACCTACAGTACAATTCATACTGAGCCACCCACAGCTGTTAAGAGCTAGGACGAGTGGTTATGGGTTTGAAGCATATCTACTCACACACCCTCAGTTACGCTAGAAAGCTTCCCAGCGGATGAATCCCGAGCTCCAGCGAACTTATTCTTGATAAACCGGTTAGAGATATGTACTCCGTAGCAGTCGGGTTGTTGCTGGAACACCGGCCCAAATATACGGCGGAGATGCTGCTTACTGAACGCAGTAAGCGGCCACCGAGATGTCATGCCCAAAAGATGCATCTCCTGCGCTGTGACGGAGATCCTGCTTCGCCCAGAAAAAGTAAAGAAAAGAACGAAAATGCGCACGCCACACACCCACACACCCACACGCATGCACGCAGACCAAGATGAATAAGTTGAACCGGGGGCCATAAAAAGGTGCTGCAGGCTAAGTTGCATCGCGCCGACCAAATGCAAGTATCATTAACTAGTCAAGAATAGTTATGCTTTAGGTGTCAAGGGATCTGTGCATCACCCACCTATCAGACATGCCTGACCTCTCCGAACTGAGCTTGCGAGGATTTGGACATATAACCACATGTTGGTTATCGACATCTGCGAAAGTGCTCTACAATCTCAATCCTCCATCTTCACTTGATTTCCGGGCAGCTGCCAACTACTTCGCGAGTCGCCATGAATTACACTACAGAGCCCATTGCCATTGTTGGTAGCGCCTGCCGGTTTCCCGGAGGCTGTGATACCCCGTCCAAGCTCTGGGAGATGTTAAAGCAACAGCGTGATGTCCTGAAGAAGATCCCCAAAGACCGCTTTAACACTGACTCATTCTATCATCCCGAGCCAACACACCATGGCACCTCTAATGCCCAATTCTCATACCTACTGGACCAAGATATTGGCGAGTTCGATGCAAACTTCTTCAATATTCTCCCCAAGGAAGCCGAATGCATTGATCCTCAACAAAGACTTCTCATGGAGACAGTCTACGATGGCATATCTGCCGCTGGCCTGCCCATCGAGAAGTTGCGCGGGTCTGACACGGCTGTGTACGTGGGTCAGATGTGCGATGACTGGTCTGGTATCTTCCAATGTCAGCTCGATGAATCACCCCCATACATCGCTACAGGCTCTTCGCGAAGTATTGTGGCAAACCGTATCTCATACTTTTTCGACTGGCATGGCCCATGCATGAATATTGATACGGCATGCTCATCAAGTCTCGTGGCCATCCATGAGGCGGCTCAAACCCTGCGGAGTGGCCAGTCATCAGTAGCCGTGGCAGCAGGTGTTAATTTGTTGATCCATCCAAGTATGCTGACCACTATTATTCCCTTTTCATTGAGTGGCTTGGTGATCTAAATCTAATATAGTGTGCTATATCTCTGAAAGTAACCTCCGCATGTTGTCCTCTTCAGGACGATGCCGTATGTGGGATTCCTCCGGGGATGGATACGGCCGTGGGGAGGGAGTTGCATGTGTAGTGCTCAAGACCCTGAGCCAGGCCCAGCGAGAAAATGATCATATTGAATGCATCATCCGCGAAACTGGCATTAATCAGGACGGACGAACATCCGGGATTACCATGCCCAGCAATATTGCCCAGACACAGCTTATTCAAGACACATACCGCCGCGCAGGGCTTGATGTACACAACCCCCTGGATCAGCCGCAGTTTTTCCATGCCCATGGCACGGGAACCAAGGCGGGTGACCCCCAAGAAGCAACGGCAATCTATCGAGCCTTCTTTACCAAAGAGACGGAGCCCGAGCAGAAGCTGTTGGTGGGCTCAATCAAGACACACATTGGTCATACGGAAGGCACGGCGGGACTTGCCAGTGTCATCGGCACTTCACTAGCCTTGCAGCATGGAGAGATCCCCCCAAATATGCATTTTGATGAGCTAAATCCTGATATATCACCATTTTACGGCGCCTTCGAAGTCCCAACCTCCGTGAAGGAATGGCCACCCCTGAAACCTGGCCAGGTTCGCCGAGCGAGTGTCAATAGTTTCGGTAGGTAGCCGTGCTCTCCTAGACGGAAGGACCACGTATGTATTGCTCAAAAAAGCTAAGGATGAATAGGATTCGGTGGTACCAATGCCCATGCAATAATGGAGTCTTACACTCCGCCCGAAGCAATGGAGCCCGAGTCGTCTCGATGTTCAACATTATACACACCCTTGCTCTTCTCCGCCAACTCTGTGACCGCTCTCAGAGAAATGATCTCCCGGCATCTTGAATACCTGGTTGACAGGCCCGAAACCAGCCTTCGTGATCTTGCATGGACGCTGCAGCATCATCGCTCAACCTTTGCTTATAAGATGGCCATAAGCGGGTCAGACTATGAGAACATCATAGCCCAGATGAATAGTGCCTTATCCACCGAATCTTCTGACTTTTCCAATCGGCTTAGCCAACCTTCGGAGCCTCGAATCCTAGCGGTTTTCACTGGTCAAGGTGCCCAGTGGCCACGGATGGGTGCTCACCTGCTGGAGTCGTCGAGCTTCGTACGCGATAAAATTGCCTTCTTAGATGAATGCCTGGCCACTCTCCCAGAGGACGATCGACCGGATTGGACGCTTCATGATCAGATTTTGGCTGTAGGGAAATCATCAAGAGTGACAGAAGCGGCCATATCCCAGCCTCTGTGTACCGCTGTCCAGGTCGTTCTGGTCGATCTCCTTCAAGCAGCAGGTATTAAACTCCATGCAGTCGTCGGGCACTCTTCGGGTAAGTTTCTCATATTCTACTCTGGGTACTATGGCGTATGCTAATTTCAACTGAAGGTGAGATTGGTGCAGCGTATGCAGCTGGACTCCTGTCTACCTGCGATGCCATCCGAGTGGCATATCTCCGTGGTGTCTATGCTAAGCTTGCAGCTTCCCCCAGTGGCGCAAAGGGGGGTATGGCCGCTGTCGGTGCTTCGGCTGAAGAGGTACAAGAAATTTTTGATTCCGAGGAATTCAGGGAGGAAATCAAGGGCAAAATATCCATTGCGGCGCTGAATTCGGGATCTAGCATCACTCTTTCCGGAGATGAAGATGTTATTCAGGCAGTGGTAGACATCTTCTCCAATCAGGGTAAATTTGCTCGTCGCCTGCGGGTAGATACAGCCTATCATTCGGCCCATATGCTACCTTGTGCAGACCCATATCTCAAGGCTATGGAGCGCTGCGGTATTGCAGTGCAGAAGCCTTTGGCAGACCGACCAAAGTGGTTCTCCAGTGTCTATCATGATACTGCCATGAACGGCAATAACTTGACCCCTGAGTATTGGGTTCACAACATGGTGCAGCCTGTTCTCTTTTCGCCGGCTATCATCACTGCTGCCAAGGAGGCACAATCATTCAACTTGGGCATTGAAGTAGGCCCTCACCCAGCTCTCAAAGGCCCCGCGTTAGAATCTTTAGGCCAGGTGGACATGCAGATTCCATATACCGGAATGCTTGGTCGCGCAAAAAATGACATAGACGAGCTTTCTGCCGGCTTAGGATTTGTCTGGGCTCAGCTTGGCCCAGATGTGGTAAACTTTGACGGGCTAGAGCGCGCTTTGGCCAGCGACAAGAGACCCAGAACCCTTCTGTCGGACCTTCCTGGCTACCCATTTGATCATCATAATCGTTATTGGTCTGAGTCTCGCACATGGAGGGCCAACAGGCTATCAGATGCACGTCCCAATCCACTATTGGGATCGTGCCTGGCTACCACGAGGAGCACTGGCAAGGCACAGTGGAAAAACATCTTCAAGCCAACAACTATACCATGGCTACAGGGACATCGATTACAGAATCAATTGATTCTGCCCGCGACGGCGTACATTGTCATAGCTCTAGAAGCTATCTCAGCGGTGGCCGGGGATGCTGCCATAGCGCTGTTTCGTATGACTGATTTGGTGCTGAGACGGCCGATTGTATTCGATGATGAGAACTCCAGTATGGAATGTATCTCCAGCCTACAGATTTTGGAGTCCAACGAGTCACGAATTAAAGCCAATTTCACCGTCGAGTCCGCAAACCACGGAGATTTGTCTTTACAGGTCAATGTTGAAGGCTCCATTGAAGTAGAACTAGGTACATCAGTTCCTGATAAGCTACCACTACTCGAGCATGACCAGTACTACAATATGAATGAGCAAAGCCCAGAAAGGTTTTATTCTGAAGTGCGAAATATCGGCTATCAATACTCGCCGCCTTTCCAGGGGATTACCAGCATCCACCGACGGTTGGACTTTGCTCACGGCACTCTGATGGATCAGTCAGATGAGGCTTGGGAGGATCAGCTTATATTACATCCAGGAATGCTGGATAGTGCTATACAGACGGTCATTGTGGCGTACTCGGCTCCGCAGGATGGGCGACTTTGGTCCCTTCATGTCCCTACCCGGATCGCCTCGGTCGAATTTAACCCTCATTTTGTCTTCAACCAAGCCTCGAAACAGAAAGTTATCCCTTGGGAGAGTCTGGTTTCTGATCAGGTATCTAACGAAATTGAGGGGTCTTTCCACCTTCTCACCGAGGACCGGAGGCATAGCTTTCTCCAGGCCGAAGGCGTTACATTGTCACCATTTAGTCCCGCCCAAGCCCAGGATGATAACCATATGCTCAGCCATATCAAATGGCTGCCTGCTTTTCCACATGGCGCGAAACTTGGGGTTTCTCGCGATTCCGTTGGTTTAAATCCATCAGTGACTGAAGATGTGGAGCGAATTTCTCTGTATCATCTACGTAAGTTATGCGAAACAATTGTTGAAGAGCACCGGAGCAGTGCGCTGCCACACCATCAACAGCTTTTCAGGTGGGCAGACTCGGTTATCAGTCGAGTCTCCGCAGACAGGCATCCTTTTATTGCCAAGGAATGGCTCTCCGACTCAGAGCAGGTAATCCAGCAATTGATCAGTCGGTAAGTATCCGTATGCGGCACATTTTCCTAAAGGTATCTGCATGCTCATCCTTATCACAGCCACCAAGACTCCCTGGAAGCGAGACTGGTAGCGGAAATTGGCCCGAGCCTTCCAAACATCATCCAAGAACAGGGTGATCTTGCGAACTATATCTCTTTAAACGAGGAAGCGCCCACGATAACACTGGCACATAGGCGTCTAGCCAATTTGGTCAAGCAGATCAACCACCGTTACGCGCGCATGCACATTCTCGAAATAGGTAAATCCCCTCTTGTACTATTAAGACGCTACTAACAGAACGCAGGGTCTGGAAGTGGTTCCATGGCTGAGATGATCGTTTCTTCTTTGGGAACTTCCTTTTCCTCATACACCTTTACCGATGTTTCTGATGACCTTTTCGATGAAGCTGAGTTTCGCTTTCATCGGTATGCGGAACGCATGATCTTCAAAACCTTAGACATTCAACAAGACCCCACTGCTCAAGGATTTGCTGCCGGCAAATATGACCTGGTTCTCGTGGGCAGTAATCTTCAGATTGCTAAAGATCAGGAGCGGAGCCTGTGTAATATTCGTCAGCTGTTGAAGCCCGGCGGATATCTTATCAGTGCCAACCCAATCACAGATGACTCCTTGCGCCTCGGTCTCATCATGAGCGACTGTCCAGGATGGTGGACCGCTGCTGACTCGGGCCGGCTGACATTGGAGAGTTGGAATAGTCTCCTGTGCAAATGCCAGTTCTCTGGCATTGACACTTGCAGCCCTATCCACGACGTTCTCCATGACATACCAGTCTGGGCTGCTCAGGCGGAAGACGAGCGCGTGCAGGTGCTGCGGAACCCTCTGGCTGCATCAGAAGTGCTTCCGAAAGAGATGCCGCCTGTGGTCATTATCGGAGGAAGGTCTTTGGCCACCGTCCAATTAGTAGAAAAGATTGGTACTCTGCTGTCAACCAAGTTCCCGAATGTGACTCATCTTGGTTCTCTTGAGGCACTGAATACCACTTTCCTCCCACCCAAAGCTACCGTTCTTAGTCTTGCCGACCTTGACGGTCCAGTGATGAAGACCTGGACTGCCAAAAAGCTAGAGGCCATGAAGACCCTTTGGAACCAGGCAGCGAGGGTATTATGGATCACCAATGGGGCTCGCTCCAATGAGCCCTATTCTACCATGATCGCCGGTATCGCGCGAGTGATTAGGATGGAGAAGTTGGAAGTTAATGTGCAGTTGCTAGATGTGGCCTCTATTGATCCGAGCACTGCGAAATCAGTATGCGAGACGTTACTGAGGCACCACTGGCTTCTCACTTGGTCACCAGATAACTCGACTGAAAATCTTTTATGGAGTCACGAAAACGAAATGGCTCTGGATAGCGAGCATACGCTTATACCGCGCCTATACCCGAACGAACTGGAGAACCTGCGGTTGAACTCTGCCCGCCGGTCCATTGTGCGGGAGGTCGACCCAGCAACGGCGGCTCTACGCCTGGCCAGCACAGAAAACTCGTATCAATTAGAAGAGATTTCTTCCCTGCGAGCCCCCCTAAGATTGCCAACGATCCGAGTGGTCCAATCCTTGCTGCAGTTCCTCAAGCTCGGCACGCATGGGTCTTTCATGCTATGCATTGGGACAAGGCAGGATGACTCCCAAGCTACGGTTTTGGCGTTGACTCAGTCGTCTGAGATTTTGACCCCAGTGGAGCCTTTTTTGGCGATTGAGATGCCCTCACTTGCGGTTGCACGCTTGGCCCTACTAACCATCGCCGTTTACATTGTTACCCAGCAGATCTTGGCTATGGTTCCTAAAGATGGTACTCTGGTGGTCCATGAACCAGATTGCTTTCTCCATGCCGCTCTTTTGGATGCCGCGGAAAAGAGCCGAGTTGATATCTGGTTTACCACTTGCCAGCCGGGCCGTGACGCCAACTGGACCTACCTACACCCCGCGCTCCCCGCTCGCCTGGTCAAGGAGCATCTTCCCAGTGAGGTCTCTGTCTTCGTTGACTTGGAGCCTCCCGGAGGACCGAGTGCCCGCGTGGCAGACGCAATCAGAGATTGTGTTCCCCCGCATGGTGTGCAAGCCTCAAAAACTACCTTTTTCACTAACCGGTTGTACACCCGCTCGGGGGCTAACCTGACTGTCCTGGGCGAACTCCTGCGAGATGCGTGGGATTCTTCATCCTCATCTAGCTTGGCCCTTGAAGTGACCGAGTCCATCCCCCTAGGGGAGGTTTCATTCCATAACCCGATAGGAGAACCCATTCAGTTAGTTGACTGGAATGTTCCCTCGGTGCCGGTTCATCTAAAGCGAATTGACAATGAGCCGATTTTCCGCCGCGATCGGACCTATCTGATGATTGGCCTCGCTGGGGAGGTTGGACAGTCTCTTTGCCACTGGATGGCTCATAAGGGGGCTGGTTTTATTATCCTAGCGAGTCGTAACCCCAAGATCGCTCCAGCTTTCCTTCGCAAAGCCGAAGATCTCGGTGCCACTGTTCGACCGCTATCATTGTAATTTCCCTTTCTACTCCATTGACATCTGTCATACTTATTTTTGGCTTTACTCCAGGGATATTACCAGTCGAACTTCTCTTCAACGCTGCCTCCGGGATATTAAGCGCAGCATGCCCCCGATAGCTGGTGTGGCTAACGGTGCCATGATCATGGAAGACGTGCAGTTCGACCATGTTGAATTCGAGAGCATGGAACGGGCAATGAAACCGAAGGTCCTTGGAAGCAAACTCCTCGATGACGCTTTCTATGAAACTCCTCTAGATTTCTTCATCATGTTCTCCTCTATTTCGGGCGTCGTCGGTAACACGGGGCAAAGCACTTATGCCGCGGCTAATATGTACATGACTGGTCTAGCACTCAATAGGCGTAAGCGTGGTGTTGCTGGCTCCGTTATTGCCTACAGTGCCCTCATGGGATTGGGGTACATCGATCGCTCCGATGAAACCATGGGCGATATGTTCCGGTCCATGGGTGTCTCCCTGATGTCAGAAATAGACTTTCGCTATGCCTTTGCCGAGGCTATCAAGGAGGGTCAGGCAAAGTGTCATGACCGCGCCGAATTGATTACCGGTTGTGTGCCAATGGTTTTGGCTGACGTGGTTCGCAACCGCTACAGGAGTGATATTCGTTTCAGCCATATCAACCTTGAGCGTGTTAATGGTCGAGTGGGTGCCTCGGGATCTAAATCATCTGTCAGAAGCCTGTTACAACAGGCTGCCTCTGTAGAGGAGGCCGAAAGAATCGTGCTTGGTAAGAATACTGCTACCTGGTTGTACTAGACGAGGAAAGCCCGACTGACGTTTTCCTTAGATGCGTTTACCACACGACTAAAAACTCTGCTTCGAATGTCCACTGAGCAGCCACTCGATGTCAACAGCAGTCTAGTTGGGCAAGGAATCGATTCCTTGGTTGCCATTGACATTCGCGAATGGTTTGGTCGCGAACTGGAGATTGACATGCCTATCATTAAGATCCTTGGTGGATCTTCTATTGTCGCTTTGGTTAAGGGGTGCCTTCATGGCATCTCCGAGACTATGGTCAACCTCAACAGCCCGTCTGAAGAGGGTCATTCAGGGCCTGAGAAGCCAGGAGCACTTGCGGCTCTCACCCCTGGTGGGGAACCGAAGCCACCCGGTGCCGAGCCAGGCATCATTCGATCAGACCGCAAGGACTCCATATCTTCTAGTTCCGACAGTGACAGTGTGGGCACATCATCCCATTATGGAACCAGTGACACTGAGCCCGAAGAGGAAAGCACATGTGAACCTTTGATTGATATGGATCTGCGCCAGTCCACCATCCAGTCGGCTACTGAGAAAGTCGTGCCAATGTCTTTCGACCAGGCCCGTTTCTGGTTTATGCAACATGCTCTTCAAGATCCTTCTGCTCTTAACATGGGCCATTGCTGGCACATTGAAGGTTCTTTAGACCTGCCCCGACTCAGAAAGGCGGTCACCACGGTTGCAGACCGTCATGAGGCAATGCGCACGCGATTTTTCTGGGGAGGAACAAACCATGACATTCCCATGCAGGGAATCCTTTCGCGGTCCATCATCCAACTTGAGACCAAGCGGATTACCAACCAGGAGGAAGTTTACCGGGAGTTAGATGCCATGCGACACCATGCCTATGACCTCGGTGACTGGCAGCTTGTGAGAACTCGGCTTCTCACATTGTCTAACAGACAGCACTATTTGATTATTGGCAACCATCCAATCACCTTCGATGGCAACAGTGCCTCGCTTTTGCTCGATGAGATGAATCAAGCCTATCTGGGGCAGAGTCTACCTGGACTTCCCAGAGAGTCTCAATACTCTATTATGGCGGAAAAGCAGCTCCAGGACTACAACGAAGGACGTTTCCAGAAGCATATTGACTACTTCGAAAACATTATCAATGGGAGCAACCCCCAACTTGAACTCTTTTCTTTTGCCAAAGTACCAGTCAGGCCAGTGCAGACTCAATACCGGTAAGTATCACTTGTGCGAGATATTGATATACATTGACACTAGAATGTAGCACTCATCGATCGGATATGCGCCTCTCGCCGAAGCAAGCTTCTTTCATTGAACAGGTCTCACAGGAGAGCCATTCAACTACATCCGTCCTCTATACTGCAGTCTTGGGCGCGCTTCTGTTCCGCCTATTACCTAACACCCAGAGGGTATTGATTGGCTTTGATGCCGACCGTAGCGACCTGGCCCTAGGGAGACCCATGGGGTGCGCACTGAATGCGTTGCCAGTCCGGTTAGACAGGCCAGGCATCCATACCAAACTTGGTCCATATCTTGAGACAGTGCGAAATGCAATAAGTGGCGTTCTAGAACATTCCGCCGTGCCACTTGATGTCCTGCTCAATGATCTCAAGCTGGACCGCTCGGCCAATGTCCCACCTGTGTTCCAGGTGATGATAAAGCATAGGGTTGAAAAGCACCAAGTTACATGGTGCAATGCTACCTGTAACCCTGAGAAAGTCTTGAACCCTGGCACCGGACTTGACCTTTACCTGGATATTACCGAAAGTCCTGAGGGTGACTCTGTGGTTGCGTTGGAGGTGCAACAAGGACTATACAGCCAGGAGCATGCTGATCTTCTTATTAGATGCTTTGTTAACCTAATAGACCAACTCACTACAGACCCAGGAGTACCTTTAGCCGCTGCTGAGCTGTGGTCACCCGACGATATCTCCCTGTCACTGGAATCTGCTACAGGTATGCAAGCCCTTCTTCTCTGTCTCTTTATCGGGACTAACCATGTCCTACAGGCCCTCTAGCACCTATGCAATGGCCACAGACTGTTGTTCATAGGATTGACCAAATGATCCAGCAAAATGGGAACAGTCTTGCTGTCAAGGATGGCAGTGGCAAGAGCTTGACCTACAACGACATGGGCCGCCGCATTGACTCGATTATCGCGGCTTTGCGCCAGGCTGGAACTCCGAAGGGTTCTGTTATTGGTGTTATGCAGGAGCCCGGTGTTGACTCGGTTTGCTCAATGCTAGCTGTCTTCCGTGCTGGTGCGACCTACATGCCACTCGATGGTCGCGTCTCTATTGATCAGATAGAGGGTGTACTTCAAGTCGCTAAACCGTTGTTGTTACTTGTTGACCGCTCTACGCTCAGTACGGCCAAGTCCCTGGCTCTCGCCAGGCCTAGGGTGTTGGATATCTCTTCGGTGGCCACGCGTAAGCACATTCAGCGCACACCCAATCTGGCGGATGGCAACACGGCCGCGATCATCCTGTTCACGGGCAGCTCTACCTCTGAGGGCAAGGGAACGCTAATCAAGCATGCGAACATGATTCCCCAACTTGAAGCCTCTTCAATGCAGTATAACTTCTCTGATGAGAGACCGCTGATCGCCCTTCAGCACTCGATCGATTCCATAGACCTGTCAATCTCCCAAACTTTCGATGCCCTGTGCAACGGAGGAAGCTTGGTCATTCTGCCCGCAGATAAGCGGGGAGATGCCATGGAAATTGCTAAAACAATCCAGGAGGAGAATATTAGTTACACGCTGGCGACCCCATCAGAGTACCAGAGATGGCTCAGTTTTGCGGCTGAACAACTTCGGGAGTGCCCCCACTGGACACTTGCTGCTATGGCAGGTGAAGCAGTCCCTCTAAAGCTCTTGCAAGGTTTCCGTGCGCTAGACAGCCCATCCCTCCAGCTTCTCAGCCTTTACCGTTCGGCTGGAACGTGTTTCGGTTCTACCTGGCAGGGTCTAATTGAGTATCACAAGTCAGACGTGGAGTTACCCCTCGCCTCAGGATATGCTTCACCCAACCAGGCGATCTACATCGTCGACGCCGAGCTGCGGCCTCTCCCGATTGGTGTCCCAGGCGAGGTTCTCATCGGCGGTGCCGGTATTGCTGATAGCTATGGCAACATGGATACTGCAACAGAGAAGAGATTTATTGAGTCTCCCTTTTCTCACCTGAACAGCAACTTCACTGCAAACAATTGGACGACCGTTTATCGGACTGGAGATTGTGGCTACTTGCGGAAGGACGGTGCCCTTGTCCTGGTCGGCCGTTCCAATGGCGACACTCAGGTTAATGTTCGCGGCTTTCAGGCTGACTTAGAAGAGATCGGGAACGCTTTGATTGAGGCTTCTGGAGGGCTGTTGACCAATGCCGTGGTCACCTTGAGAGAACAGGATGGGGACCAATTCTTGGCTGCTCATGTTGTCTTTTCCAATCAGCTACCACAGAACAACTCCCAGAAAATGCTGTTGGACAATCTCCTGATGCGTCTACCTGTGCCAGACTATATGGTTCCTTCGGCTATAGTAGCCTTGGATGAACTGCCATTGGACGCTCACTCCAAAGTGGACCGAACTGCCATCTGTCAGCTGCCTATTGATGAATCTAACGTGGTGACCCCGACTAACCGAGAAATGACATCGATGGAGGCCAGTCTTGCCGAGGTCTGGCAAGGGGTCCTTTCTGCCTCTGCCTCTCCGACCCTTACTCCCAGCTCTGACTTCTTTCAGGTTGGGGGTACCTCTCTGCTAATTGTAATTTTGCAGCGGGCAATCAAGGAGCAATACAAGGTTGCACTGCCAGTAACCGAGCTGGTGGCTACCAAGAGACTCGCTGATATGGCCCGTTTGATCGAAGGGAAAGCAGTTTTTGCCTAGGCGTCTTTGGTGGGGGTGTACATACTAGTGGATATATTTACCAAAGCCTGAAACGTAATTCTGAATGGCAGACTACTTAGCTATGAAGGTCCCTGCGCACTAGAAATCTTCCGCTGTTATACCTCAATAGTAGCTATCCAGAATGTGTAACGCTTTGGGGCACTGGTCTTTGGTTGTGTGCATATCTTAGAGGTGGAGAAAGAGAGATAAGGATATGATGGAAGAATTTTCACTGTCGTCATCATACAGAAACGGGAAGAACGGATGCCTGGCTGCCCGTTTCCTCGCTTCCCCCTTGACTCGTTCCACTTCACCCTGCCATGCCAATCCTCTCTCTTCGAAGAGAGCCAACCCACCCCCAGTCCGCCCTATGTACCCTACAACGAACATGACCCAACCCAGTCCCGAACTACAACAAAACACAAAAAGAGAATAACATAAACAGTGTAAGAGATACCGGGGAGGAAACGCGACTTGGCTCAGCCCTATAAGGCACGCCAAGTGCGGAACCTTCTCGGGCCATGAGCCAATCAGGGCCGGGCCATCCCGCGCCTTCCGTGGAGCTGCTATTTTCTTGCTTTGCGTTTGCTTTTCTGGTGCCTTTTTGGCTTTTGCTGGGACTTTGCTTTGCTTTGCTTGACTCGCTCGCCGACCGACCGGATCGACTCGTTCCACCAACATTCCATTCCTCTCCCTCCCCTCTTCTCCCCATCCGGATTTCTCCCCCCTCTCCTCTTCTCCTCTCCTCTTGTCCCTCTCTTCTCTCCTACTCCCTTCTTTTCCTCTTCTTCCCCTTCCCTTTCCTTCTCTTCCTTCGGTCGCGTCTGGTGTCCAAACCTTCCGTCCTGCCGGTCCCACACCCGCAAGAGGAGCTTGTCTCCTCTGGTCTCCTGACCCAACCATCCAATGCCCTCCTCGCAGGACACCTTATCTCCTCTGGTCTCGGACAAGGCCATCCATCATGAGGAGCATGAAACAAGTGACTTGCCCCCCTCCCGGGTCACTTTCGTCCGCCAGCGACGGAAACTCCGTCTCATCAGCCCGGCGTGGTACCGGAACAGTTTACTGGCCAGCGTGGGCTTTCTAGAGTTCGCCAACGCGGGTGATTTCGCCGCTAATGTGTGGAACGATGTGCCGGTCCCGCTCTATGCGGTTATCTTCATGGCCATCGGGGGCCCATTAGCCTTGCTCATCAGTGTCGCTGCCCTTTGGGATGGCATCCTAAGTTGGCGAAATGTCCGCATTCTGCAGCAAGAACGACAATACCTCCACGCTCTGCGACTGCAGTACCTCAACCTACCCCCTTCCGTCCCCGTCGATCAGGCCTCTGTCCGGCTCATTGACCGCCGTCTTGGCGTCAGTTTTCGCGAATTGGGCTCCGAACTCATCGATCGCGTCGTCATGGATGTTTTCCTGGGCATCGGTGCCCTTCTTGTCGGCACCGGTACAATAATGGCTATCTGGGGAGCTCATCGCCATGTCTATTATATCAGTAATCTTCTGTCTGGCTTTGTGGGCAACTCCTTCGCTGCAGCATACGGCGTCCTTAACGCCGTCTGGTCCCTCTACCTCATCTGGCGATTCTACGGACACGACCGTGCATGCACGCGTTCCTCCGCCATCACACCCTTTCGCGGTCGCCTCCACCGTCGCTTCCAATACTTCCAATTACATTCGCTCGTTAGCGGAATCACAGGCCTCGTCGCAGGAGCAGCCTCCATGCTCACCTGCAAACGATGGTGGGGATACGTAATGCTCATCCCCTGCATGATCTTCGAAGTAGGCTGTAACCAGTTCTGGCGAGTCCAGCTGGGCTACGACCGTCCCATTGTGACCGAGCAGCCCCACTGGGGCTTGATCCCCGATTTCAAAGCAAGCAAAGAAGATGACGAAGAGAAGGACAGCGTCCTCCTTGACACGCTGGCGTCCGTCATTGCCATGCAAAACGCCCTCACGCCTCATCCGACCGCTATGATCGACGTCGACTGGTCCTCCCTCGACTCCCTGCTTAGTTTCATCGTCCATAACCACCTCTTCGATTCCCTCTGCGGCTGGCTCGCGACCCATTCCTCCGTGCCCAAGGACTTTCATCATAATTTGTTCCGCCTCTGCGCGGACTATACGGAGATCACTCTGACGCTGGCAGACCTACGCAGTCTGCCTGAGATCGAACATCCCCGACTCTTAGACCTTGTTCGGGATTTCTTGTATACTGAGGGCCAGCAGGTGATGATCGGTCGGGAACGGTATTTATTAGAGATGGTCGGGTATACCGCATGGAAAGATGGTTAGATTATTGATATGTTTTGCATTGCATTACATGCATTTGCGTTTGCGCTGATTTCATATTATGATGCCGTGACGATTGTGTGTTTTGTTGTATATATGCATGAGACAGCGTCATGGTTGCTTTGGCATACAGCAAGAAGAGAAGACCAGAGAAAATGATCGTGCCGGAACACGAGTCGTGATGACGGTTAGAATTTAATGACAGTACTAATGTTTTCTTCCATAATTATCTTGCAGTTGTATCATATCGAAGATGGACGGAGTAGTTGTCGGAATATGTTCATATGATTCTATCAGTGTAATTATGTCACGCGGTTTTCTAGTTGAGCTACTTATTTACTCCTAAAATATAATATATAACAATACAAGGATAACATGCGATGCTGTAATCATTCTCGACGCTCGCTGCTTTTCATCAGATAGAATCTCGCCCGCTAAAATGCAAATATCCGTTCCCCCTTCAACTGCAAGCAAGGTTGCACGCTGCAAAACACAAAATGCGATGGAACAATCCACTCCCCCCAACCTCCTCTCAGTCCCACACGCCTAGAAACTAAAAAGCCCACTTCTCCGCTTTCCAAACGGATAAACCACCAACGCAGCGACAAACAACCCAACCGTAATACCAATGGCGACTTGAATCATACCAAATCCCAAAATATTCGTTGACATATCGCTAGACGACGAGCTGGATGTAGTCGAACTCCCCGTTGCGTTCTTCGTAACATTCGACCGGATCTCATCCGCCGTGTCGACGCCTGCAATCAGGTTCCCTGTCGCCGCTAGACCGGAGGGCACGAGGACGAAGATCGCTGGTAGGATAGCTGCAGCGGCGTGTCCGTGCCAGAGACGGCTGTAGAGGTTGCCCATCACACCTACGGTGAAGGCGCCGACGGTGTTGGCTACTTGGGAGTTGTTGCCTAGGCGCGAGCTGACGAAGTAGTTGGTTACGTAGCCGGCAACGGAGATGGCGATCATGATGGGGGATTGTTTCCATTTGCCTTGGTTGACGATTAGGAGGCAGAGGGAGAAGGCGGCGACGAAAGGGAATCGTTGTGCGTAGGCGTTGCCGAAGCCTCCAGTTGTCGGACAGGTTAGGTTTGAGGTGGCGTTTTTGTCGATTAGGCCGTAGATGGTGGTGCCGACGGTGACGCCGTAGCCGAGGAAGAGGGAGTAGATGATGGCGTAGACCATGCGGATGGAGCCGGCGACGATTTGTTGGGATTGGAGCTCTAGGCTGCTGCAGAGGACGGTGTAGCCGGGGAGGATTAGTGCGATGGAGGATTGGGCGATTGCGGAGAAGCAGAATATGTAGTCGTTGGATCCGTTGGTGAATGAGGATGATTTGATACTGCCAAAGGCGCGGGCGAGGAAGGAGGTGAGGACGGCGGCGGTCACTTCGAAAACGTTGGAGTAAAGGACTGAGCGTGGTGCGAGGATGTGTTGCATGCAGCCTAGGAGGCAGCCGTTGAAGAAGATTATTGGCATGTCTATTGGTCGTGCGTCGAACGCGAAGGGGCCTACCATAGCAGTGGCTAGACCGTAAATTAGGACAATGAAGTATCGGTTGAATCGGGGCTTCTTTGCCATCAGTTCTTCTAGTTCGTTTCCCGCTTCTTCGATCCCTATCATGTCGTGTATGACGTTCTTGTATACGTTGTGGGTATCTGCTAGTCGTCCTAGGTCAACGCCTTGAACGACACGGACCAGTTTGACTTCTGTGGTTCGAGTGCTGGAGTCATCGAATGACATGATCATGCATCCTGGGACGTAGAGGAACTGGCTGTCAACGTCTAGAACTTTGGCCGTCATGCGCATGTATTCCTCGAGGCGATGGGTTGGAGCTCCGAATCTCATCAACGCCTTGCACAGCTGCATGATGTATCTCTGTCGAGCAATTATCTCGGCAATCTGCAGGGTTACTTGGATCTCCTCTTCTAGTCTCATGCTGTGCCTTCGACTCTTGTCTCGTCGTCTAGATGCTGCGCTTAGAAGCTCGCCGGTAACAGGTGTACTTGCACCGCTAGCACTGCCGCCTCCGACTAAGGTTGATGTTGATACGTTGCCAGGCTTCTTGTACCATCGCACTTTTTCCTTTCGTGGAGTCGTAGTGCCCGGGGTGCTTCCACCGAAGGGGTAGAACGTGTCACTGGCTAGGTGGAGCCCGCGCGCTCCTTTGTGGAATTGGTCCCAACCGCCGCTAAGTCTGAGCAGCTGAGATAGGACGCCTCCCGATCCCGAGCTGCGGCGAGGTATCGCTTCGTTTCCAGAGTCCTCATCATGGGCAGAAACTCCAGCGGCACGATGCAAAGCCGACTCCCTACGGGCACTCGGACGACGGCCAGAAGCTTCATGTGCCAGCTCGCGGATGATCCGATGCGCTTCGGTGCTACAGGTTTGGTCTTGACCTTCTTCTCTGGAATGCAGATCAGGTTCGGTGTCACGACGTCGATGGTCGATGGGTTGTAGGTCGTCTTCGTTAATATCGTCTGGACGACCGAGACGAGCAGCAAAATTCGCAGCTTTTTCTTTGATCGAGTCTCTGAACGCTTTCAGACGTTCGCGTCTGGGTCTTTTCTCACTCGTCGTCGTCTGTTGCTGCTTCTTTTCATTCTCTTCCTCCCGGCCATTTGTACTGGTAGACTGAGGGCCTCTGTGGGATACATCGGTTATGTCGACTGATGCTTGAGTAGATGAACGGCGTCGAAGATGAGATGTACCGGGTGAGAGAACGCGCTCGTCTGCATCCCAGATCCCATATTCGAACCTGCGATCCGCCCCAAAGTGAACGCGATGAGTACGGTGACCACTGCGTGAGGAATCGCTTTCGGGGGTAAGATCATGTCTTTTCTCAACGTCGAAGTCTGCATTTGGTCTCTCGACGCTGTGATAACTGATCAAGGAGCTAGAGCTTGATTCGTTGCTGCGTCTTCCTTCGGACATTATTCCCGCTGCCTGGTGTTATGCAGGTATAGAGGGTGTTTTCGTCGAAGTATGAGTGATGAGAATCAAATAGTGTCCCTGCTGGCCTATCAAAGACATCTAACACCACAGTGTAACAGTATGTACGGAACGTCTCCTACCACTGTGTGCGATTCACCATCCAGCGAGAAAGGCGATTGTCCCTTCAAGCCGAGTGGGAAAGGTCGCTCAGGACACCCCCATTGAATACACCAGCCCCGCTTAGCGAGATTTCCTGTTCAGAAGGAAGAGGCCGGTTAACAACAGTATTGTTCGGTGTGATCTGCTAACAATAGTAGCAAAACCCAATGAGTGAATAAGCCCGCCACGGGGGCAAAGATCTCTTCTATCCATCGGCCAGACGTCATGGGGGGCTAGATTGTGAGTAGGCCTGCTGGCGTGGCCGGCGAGGCATATGTAACCTTATCTGGCCGAGAACAGAGTCGATGACGCATCTGGTTCCAACGGTTCGGTCTAGGCTTTTGCAGCCAACGTCTCTTCACATTGTTCCTCTTCAAGTCTATGATCCACGGTCAGCAGTTAACAAGCAATCACGGACAGTCTCCACAGACCGTGCATGTCAGGAACAATTGATGGTTCAACTTATGGCCAGGCACGCATCTAGTCTGTTTAGGATCGGCTGATTAAAATAGCCTGGACTGATCCGGGACCTGTGCGTCCGATGAGTCTTTACCGAGACAATCGGAACTTTGCCGTCAGCCGATGATCGAATGACGAAAAATATTAGGTACGATGAAATCATAAAGTAGTGGGTTACAGGAGGAATTGAGTTGTTCACATGCAAGTTGCCTTTAAATCAGGTGACCGGCCGTGCTATCTTTCACGTCACGTGGTCTCCTGTTCCTCAATGCTCTCTTTAACAACTTCGTACTCGAAAGTCACTATATTCACTCTATTTGATTGTTCGTGACAGTGACCATTTTACATGAGTAATGATCAAGAATTATGTAAGAGGCGAAACCTGAATGTGGGAAATCATACCATTACTCACGGGTACACTAACCAGTCTCGCAAATGAATATAAAGTCATTGTCCACATCGACTGAGTAGTATCACTACTATATCAATGGCGTGCTAACGTTCCAGAGATTGAGCGTATACTATGTCGAGTCCCTTAGAACAGAATTGAAAGGCAATTGGCCACCTTCATGGATGGCGAGGGAAGTTAGGTAACATGACATGGCTATATGACCACGTCCTGTACTATACGACGTGATCCCTCTACCATCTAGAAGACCCTTGTTCTTCGGCATCATGTAAGCAGAGTGTTACAGATGACCAGAGAGCAGGCCCTTTGGTATCACAGACTGTATCAGAGCAGCAGAGGGGAACGCCACATTGCAAAGTTGATGTCAGTTCGGGTTTACATACAGGCTCCCCGACTGCAGTCACAGCCCTTTTAACACTCAGAGTTCCATCTTGACTGTGCTATGATTTGACCGGATCAAATGTCCGACATCAAGTATGCGAGAGGCTGGACTTTTTAAGAGTACCACGCAAAGGTCCAGGCCTTGTGCACACATCAATATGCTGCATCACAAGCCACTGAATGATAACCAGATGTCGTGCCAGTTTCAATAATGACTATTCACATCTCACCGTCACGTCACTGTGGCTTGTTCTCTCCTATGTCTAATACTTAAGGGATAGGTTTATATTTTGTACAAGTGCGACCTGACAACACAGATATTCTCGTCTCGCTCCCTCATATCAGTCATTATCAGCGTTTCAGTCATCATGTTCGGAATCATCAACTTGCCTAGTCGCTCGACCGGCACTTTGTCCAGTGCTTCGAGTTCCAAGAAGCGTTACGCGCCCATCGTTAACGAGCTTCTCCAATTACTCGACAAATCGTTTCCTTATGCTTCTGGAATGGAGGCCCTCGAGCAAGCTATCCAATCTGCACTTCAGTACAGGATCGTTGAGATGGAAAGCTACGGACTCACCTCTGCTAAAGGATTTCTCAACTTTGCAACCTGGATGGTCGATGGTTGGATACCCACCGAGTCAGCAAAGGGTAGAGACATCTACTATATCTTGTGCATCTTCTATTTCGTGTTCGACCAAGTCCCGCTCAAGGATTGTCAAACTGCGATTAGGCCCGAATCTGTGGGGCAGGATCTGTCCGAGCTCTCCCAATGGATGGTGAAGTTTGCCAAGGAAGTTGGGAGCCACATGAACCGACCAGAGTCGCTGAACGAAGCATCACTCACTTCATTCTGGAATGCTCCAAGCTTCCATGTATTCGAGGCAGATGAATCCAAAACCGAAGGGGGGAAATGGACTAATTTCAATCAATTCTTCTGTCGTCATCTCAAGGACGGCGCACGGCCCATTGATGGTGAAGGTGACGACAACATTGTCATTTTCCCTGCAGATTCAACCTTCTCCGGTTACTGGGATATCACTGACGAGTCGATGGTCGAGTTGAAAGGTCTACCATGGCATATAGGCGATCTCCTTGGGCCATACAAGTCCGACTATGGCGATTCTTTCAAGGGCGGGATCTGGTTGCATTCTTTTCTGAATTCATTTGACTATCATCGCCAGCACGCGCCGGTGGGAGGTACTATCAAAGTCATCGACACAATTGATGGCGCGGCCTACCTAGATGTTGAATATCAGCCTGATAGTCGGTCCCTGATGCCAAAACGCCCTATGCGTCCTATCTACTCCTCGGGGCCTGTTTATCGGGGAGCTGAGGCGACGGATAAAGAAGGATACCAGTTCCTGCAAGCACGAGGGATCATCATCATAGAGAACGACAAGATAGGCACGGTTGCTGTTTTACCGATCGGTATGGCACAAGTCTCGTCTGTGGTGGTCAGGGACGACCTCAAGCCAGGTGCCACCATCAACAAAGGTGATGAAATCTCACATTTCGAGTTTGGTGGCTCGGATATTGTGGTGATGTTTCAAGGTGGAAAGATAGACCCTCATACTCTCCCACAGCCATTGTCACGCAAAAGCGAAGAGCCCTTGTACGAGCATCATAATTATGGAGAGATGCTCGCTAAGGCCAAGTCAAAGTCCAAAGTCTAATTATTGCGAGGACTCGGCACACTGGTGGAAATTCTTGGCTTCATCATCTCGCAGAGTTGAGGAAAGATTGTTCATCTAAGTATATCCTGAAGGCAAGAGGCAATTTGCAATAATTTGTGAATTACTTGCAATGAGGAATTCAACTCGTAGTATTACTCTAGCTGTCAAAAATTACAATTACCGGTTAATTGCATGTCATAATCTATGGTTCTTTTTGTGGTTTGTTGGGCAACAGAAAAGAGTCATCACGACGAATGTAAGAAACGGCATGCTATGAAGCCGTTGGGCCTGAGGTGTCAATATAGGCTCGGCCAACGGACTAATCCCAAAATAGCCTAGCGCACAGTCGCCAGTGGCTGACATCAGCCATGCACTCGTACATCTCTCGCCTCCATCTGGGAAGATCTTAACGCTCTGCTTGGCTTACTTTCTCAATCCTAGTATGTCTCTCAGTGATTAGTCTCACTGTGGGGGCTGTTAATAATGTCACCTCAAACCCGAGCAATCCAACATAGCGAAAGTGTGGGGGAGAAAAAGCGAAAACCTGTGCGCCGTGACCCGGAGAAGAGACGGCAACAGAACATTCAAGCCCAACGCAGATACCGTAAGTGCGGGTCTCATCTGGAGTCACCACATCGGAGATTAGCTCGCAAAATTACTAATTACGTCCCCGTTTAGGAGAAAAGCTCCGTGAGCGCTTAGGTCGTCTCGAAGCGCTGGCAGAGTCTGCGGGACAGACCTCGGCCATTGAAAGCACCCCGGCTTCGGGCATACAACCAAGTGGGGCGATCACAGCGCCTGGCCTACCCATCGCTTCAAGTACTATCGTTTCAAAGACCCTTCCACTCTATGATGCTTCGGATGTATCAATTCCGTGTACATCTGGGGCGACCCTTAGTAATTGCCAGGAACTTATCCCAATCTCAGGTGGGATTCCGCCGACATTATACACATCAGACTCCACTACAACACCCTATCTGTATTCTGATGAATCTCCCTCAACACTAAGTGTATGGGATCCTCCATCATGTGTGGATCCTTCTCTTCTCGTTCGCGATAAGCCCAGTGATAGCCTGGAGCTGTACTGGACAACCACCATTGACTGCGGCTGTACCAGTCCGCATTTCCGAATACAGACAGACGGTCCAGACCTTCTCGGCCGCAATGAAGTCAGGGTATTCAGGTTCGGCGCCAATACAACTACAGCCGATCCATATACCAATAGTCTCCGAATCGATAGAGTTTGTACCATCGCCGCAATTCTGGATCTTGTTAGGCATTTAGGCATTACGGAGGAAGGGTTATGTGCTGACCAATCTCCCTCGCCATTCTTCCGGCCCAGCGCAGTGATGGCAGACGATACAGCCAGGAGCAATTTGATTCGCACTGTACAAGAAACATTCAAGACTTTAAAGCCAGATCTGAGGCCATCTCAAGAACAAATCACTATCGAGCACCATCCGATCATAGACATTCTACCTTTCCGAACGCTACGGAGAAACCTCATCACTCGCCAGCACGATATAGATGAGGATGAGTTCTTCGAAGATATGCTTTCTGGCTTAGTATGCTGGGGAGGTGCTGGCATTGGGAAGAGGGATCGGCAAGTCTCCACTGGGTATGCATCGACAGGTACACCGTGGGATGTCCGTAGTTGGGAGGGAAAGGTGTGGTTTCTGAAGAAGTATTGGGCGCTTTTGGGCGGTGAAGATGGTGAACTCGTACGACAAAGTGAATGGTGGCGCAGTATCAGGGGAGACGAAAGTGAGCAGGAGAACATGTGGCTAGGATAGAAACTAGCTGTGTGACATGTAACTGTTCGGCGTGTCATAGACGATACATGCCTCAGATTCCATCAGGTAGAGATTTTACAATGCTATCGGCATCTCCTTTAACTAAACTAGTTAGCCTTGTAGTTTATCTCGAACCATCCAATTTTCAGGAAGCGCATCATATATGCCGCAGCTACTCGTTGAAAGATCCGACTAGTAAATCTTAGTATGATATAAGATCTTGCTCCATGCTGTCAGACAAAGGTAGACAAGGAGAACATTTCACGTCACGAAAGTGACCAATTATTGCATGGGGACGACCCTCTAGCTTTGTGGAAGAGCCATACTCAGGTAACTGTCTAGTAGAAAGCAATGCCAAGGCTGTCTTATCCTGCGCATATATCACTCTAGCCAGTCTTTCTTGCCTGAGGAGCTCCAGTCTCTTTCATTCACTTCTCCCACACTTTGGAAACACAGCAAGGCAGGGTAGTGAATGACGACATGCCAATGTTTGACTCAGGGCTCAGAGTTATTTTCTTGAAGGGCTAGAATGACTTCTTGTTCCTCTCACTTGAGATGAGAAGGCACTAGCTCTAGATCCAAGCTATAGAGTCACAGATCAGACCGGCTATTGCAACTCCTCTTCCGTGTTCAAGTGGCTACGGATTCTGCTGCTACCTCCGTCTATCAACTATCTAGCTCACTACTCTCTTCTTTTGCAGGCCAGTCAACGAACTTCCATCACCTTTATCATAACACACAATGTCTAAGAGAAGGATGTATAAGGTCAACAAAGACAGAGAGTCGCCATTTGGGCCTTTCCCTCCCCGGCCTTCTCATGTCTTCCATCCAAATCATCCCATGATGGATAAAAGTGTCGGAGATACATTCTGTAAGTGCAATACATTTGTTTATATTCTCTGCGGACATAAGCCTCCCTGAATCATATTTGAGGAGTTTAACAAAAGGCAGAAAGGCCCGGGCTTGTACTAACAATCGTACCAGCGAACAACAGCAGAAGTGGAAATTATGCTCCGGTTGGCTCAATCTGCAAGGCTCTCCACGTCTGCCAGATGAAACCCGATTATAATGGCATTACGTTTTGGACTAAGGATTCTGTCGCCGAGACTGCAGAACCAGTAACGGATCCCGAGTTCAGCCAATATGCAGTCATCGTTCGGGTGGTGAAATACTGCAGTGGATACGAGAGGCTAGAAATAGACTCGATAGTTGTGCAGAGTGCTCACCTCAAAAGGGTCCTGGCCGAGGTCATGTATGGCTACCGTGGCATTACCATGTCACTCGAGAAGGTTGAATTTCAAAAGCCCTTCGGACCGTTTATTCATCGATGGGACCTTTTCACCGGAGCTAGAGACAACGAGCCCAATGCAGAAGTCAAGGCCCACCTGGACTTATTGTACGATGTCATGGCAAGCGAACTTGACGATGTCATTAAGCGCAAGAACAGCCTTGTTCCCAACGGCATGATTACGTTCGACCTGCTTTGGACTATCTTTGAGCCAGGCAACGCAGCTTACAGTATCGTGAACGGACACAAGCGCGCCTTTCGGCATGAAAAGAGCTTCATCGGTCCAGATTCCAAAGACTACGAGATCCAGACTGTTTATATAGACTACAATGGTTACGGATTTGGGTACAGGAAGTACAAATTGTCCATTCCAGCCTACGAAGGCACCAAGGCTATCATGGCGCTGCCAGTGATCCCCTTGATCTGCATGACGACATGGACACCCTGCTCGAAACCCTGACTCTGCGTGGAAAACTTTGGTATCTGCACAAAGGCTATCACTACAAACAATATGAAGGATTGGCCTTGGCAACTTACATGGGCCGAGAGGATAGTTACAACGTAACCAGCCGGGTTATCATTGACACTGAGGCATACCTCGCTTTCCACTCAGATAATTGCTTGGAGGACCTGAACGATATATCCAGTTCACTAGATGATGCACAATTCCTGTTTGCAACTCCAATTCTGCGCGGCTATTCCCTCGAAGACAGAATGTGGTTGGAGCTTTTTATTGACGGGGTGTCTGATATTAGCTGGAACCCGCGACCTTTCAAGTCTCTGGTACTGCCTAGCGGCGAAGAAGAGAACGTGAAGAAGCTAGTTCTCGCATTGGCGAGTTCTCAGTCGAATAAAGTCGGTGCCAATACTGATGGACTTCAAGGCAAATGCCGCAGTGTTATCATGCTCCTACAAGGCCCTCCTGGGGTTGGTAAGACCCTGACTGCCGAATGCGTCGCCGAAGTATTGAAGGTGCCGCTTTACGTCCTGAGTGCGCGGGCGCTTGGAAATACTACTGCGCTTGTTGAAGAGAGCCTGAAATCAACCCTTCCTATGATTGCCAAATGGGGTGCTCTGCTATTTCTAGAGGATGCTGATTTCTTCATACAAGAACCCAACCCTAGCGACCTCCGAGCAAACGAGCTATCGTATGTATACTTAACACTACTGGAACACTATCAGGTATGTACCGAACACAAATTTCGGAGACGATCCTAACACAAAAACCACCAGGGGATTTTATTCTTGGCTAGTGACTGCGTCGAGACTATAGTCTCTGCCTTTGAGAATCGTATCGATGCTACCATCCGCTATCCCGATCTTGATACGGACTCCCGCCGCCATATCTGGAAACATTTACTTGGAAAGACGGACAAAAAGGCCTTCTCCAAAAGTGATCTTGATAAACTGGAAGATCGCGAATTGAACGGAAGACAAATCAAAAAAGTGCTCAAAACGGCCAGGACTCTCGCCCGCTATCAGGGGGCTAAGCTGAAGTTTGAACATGTCCAAACTGTCCTGGATCTTGCGGCTGATTGGTTTATTTACTGAGCCTTGGAGGGCTGTACATCAGTGGCTAGTTGACCTTCTTTGTATCTACAGTAATTCCTCGATGTGAGTCTTGGTAGCTAGCCCGAAGATTAATGTACTCTGGGAATGCTCCAACGTACCAACTATGGTTATAGTATATATTCCTTTGTGTCAGTCTAGAATAGAACTAGCAGCGGAGTAGTAAGTAGGTCTTTTAATCTGAAAATACCGGTTCTCGGATCACCTCTCTATACCAACTACCGTTTGTGGGTGTCTGACAGTCATAGAGTCCGCAGCATCCTCAGCGTTACATTCTCCCCTTGGTTCCTGAGGCCCTGGAAGCTGACCTGAATGGGGAAGCCAGTGGGGCCGTTGCGGGGTGGGGCCGCCTGACTAAGGCATTCGGGGACAGATCCTCCCCCCGACAGCTCCGGAGTAAGCAGCATTTCCTGACGCGCGAGTTGCCAATTCATCAATTTGGGGGTTACTATCGTATACCCCGAAAATGGACAGTATATCAGAGGTTCTACTATGAATACAACCAAATTGGCAAGCTTTCCACCTAGAAAGTAACCACCTATGTCACAAATGGGTCACAGAGTGGATATCCATGGACCTCGATGGCAGGTCACATGATTGGACGGGGAAGGCCAGACCGCCTGAGATTCGCCGCTCGGTATTTTATTCCTGCAAAAAAAACTTTCCTGATTTTGCCCAAGCCAGGCTAATCTCTCCTGCACTCTCCGATCTCTCCTCTGGCCCCCGGAGTCTTCTGTTACTCAAGTGCCGCTGAGCAGATTGGAAAATCATCATCTTGTTTCATTAACCTCCGGCAAGATGCAGCCTGTTGCTCACCAGTCGGGAGGCGCGTCTGGAGATCCGCTCCCGCCGTCACTGCCGACGGAGGCGATCGAAGAGAAGGCCAGCGTGTCTAGCTTGGGATCATGGAATCATTTGATTGCTGGCGCGTGAGTTGATTCGATGCTATGGTAGAGAAGCTCAATACTGATGTTCTGAAATAGTACCGGTGGAATGGTCACTGCTATTGTTACGAGTCCTCTTGATGTTCTCCGCACGCGGTAGGATAAGCCTTCATCCCCAACGCAAAAACAACGGAGCTTTGCATACTAACATATTTTGTACTTTTAGTTTACAAACCGACTATTACCAGACGTCAGGCGCGAACCGCTCGATTCCCACACACGCGCACGTTCGTCAGTCGTTCGTTAAGACTTCTATCCGCCATTTCCGGGAGACATTTGGCATTCTTTTCTCTATCCATCGGGTCGAAGGCTGGCGGGGTATGTTCAAGGGTCTTGGACCCAGCTTGACGGGTGTTGTTCCGGCCAGTGCGGTGAAGTTCTACACATATGGCAACTGCAAACGCCTGCTGCCAGAAATCCTGGGGTGCGACAAGGACACCACGCTTGTGCATGCCATGTCCGCAGCATGCGCTGGTATTGCTACTGGATCGGCCACCAACCCCATCTGGGTAGTAAAAACTCGTCTTCAGTTGGATAAGGCCGGTGCTCGCCGGTACAAGAACAGTCTGGATTGTACCAAGCAGATTCTGCAACAAGAAGGACCTAAGGGTCTCTACCGAGGTCTGACGGCCAGCTACCTGGGCACAATCGAAACCACACTGCATCTGGCCATGTACGAGCGGATTAAGGGACTCATCTCTAAGGAGGTCAATTTGGATAAGAACTCGGATTCGAACAAGTTTGTGCAGGGCCTTGCTCTGAGTGGAGCGTCGGGATTGTCGAAGCTGTTTGCTTGTCTGATCGCGTATCCCCATGAGGTGAGTTGACGCGTCGAAAATCTTCCGACATGAGCATATTCTGACATTTGCAGGTTATCCGTACTCGTCTTCGACAGGCTCCGATGGCGGACGGTCGCCAGAAGTATACGAGCATCCTCCAGTGCGCGCGGTTGATCTTGAAGGAAGAGGGAGTGATCGCGCTGTATGGAGGATTGACGGCACACCTTCTCCGCACGGTGCCGTCGGCCGCGATCACCATCGGGACCTACGAGCTGGTTCTCAAGGTCCTTGAGGGACGTTAAAAGGATGTGACGGGCGGCGGCAAGACCCCGCGACTTCCCTTCTCATGTATTATAGACTGTACGATAAAAGTGGCACATAGATACCCTGTAATAATGATGTGAACAGCAGCGACTGCAATAGGGTCTCGTTTGGCGACATGGAGTTTGCATCTCGATCAGGGAGCTTTGCATCATCTGGAACTTGCTTTTCCGGTGATTTTATCTTAGCGCAGCAGTTGATCAATCCCAATATTATGATATTCATTCTTACTTTGTCTTATATTGGAAGGTAATTTCTACGCCTAGTCAACGTAAAATGTTTTGTACAGAAGTATAGTTAGTAGCCTTCGATCGGCACTGGACGGAACGTCATGGTGCTTGAAACAAGTCAAACAACCAGGCAGAATTTCGGTGGACTTATCAGGAGTTGGAGAGAGAGTTCCGCAGCAGTTAGTTTGGTAGACAGACGAACTAAGTTTTAGTTTATGGTTCAGCGGCGTCCTCCGAGTGGAGATGTAGAAGCGCGCACTGATGACTGAAGATTGAGTCTTTGACCCAAGCAAGTGGGCGCGGGTCATCTCCGACCGGGCTTTTGCCTTCGCTAACAATAGTCTAGATATTATTACGTGCAGACCACGACCTAATCATCCCTAATCCTACACTATCCTTACACTATACTAAACTAGAACCGATATCGTGCGTGGCAGATTAAGGCTTCCGTGTTCTGCCGTTAGCACGCTTCACTAGCATCAAACTAGCACATGGAGGAGAATACATCCGACGCAAGTTGCAGACACTCAATCTGCGGGCGCAGCGATCGAGCCAGTGACAAGCGAAGTTCTAGAGTGGCCGTGGCTGTCTAGTGCAGCAGCCATTTCCAGGGAACAGGGAATACGGGATGGCCATTGGTTCTCACCTCCTGGCCGGGCGGTGGATCCCCCATTCCTTCCTTCTGCGGGATTTCCTTTGCGCGGACTCCAGCGCAGTCTATAGCACTGCTCTGCTCATCGATCATCATCATTATTTGCTGCAGGTAAGCAGACAAAGAAGAAGGTTAAACTCATACTTTTAAATGATGGATGGAAAAAGGATAATCTGAGGATGATTTTGGATGACAGCAAGCTTACCAGACTGTCAATCAGGTTCCCGCCAGCCGATCTTACTCCTTTGTGTTGTCCATTCTCGTTTCCATGCCTTGCAGAGACCCAGTGGCACACAATCCAATCTTGCCATCCCGATGATCGGCGACCCACGACTTCCCCCCATGTGGGGGGGGGGTGCAGCCGGAGTGAGGAGATGCAACAAGAGGTCCGTGGAAGACCGCCCTGCAACCCCAGCACTCGAACGCAGGAAAATGGCCAGCAATTCCAGGGATGTCCTGACGGCAACCCGGAGGACGTCTCCCTTTCTTCTTGCTGACACTCCTTGCAACAGGATTGTCTGTGTCACGGACCTTGACAGCCAAACTGATCCGACCTGAAGAAGTCGAGGATCGAGAAGGTTTGCTCCGTTGCTTGGCAAACTCAATCCGATCCCTATAACTGCTGCTTTCTTCCCCCGTGACTGGCCTCGACTTCAGTCTCTTTTGATCCTTTGGCCTCCTTTGACAACATCGTTGTGTCTCGTATCCAGTTTGACCTCACTTTTCCTCGTCTGCGCGCCCCTATCTTGAGACAATGGCCGCGAAGGCATCTCCTACGGCCGTCTCGGCCAACTCTGGAGCAGAGGAAGTCGGACTGTCGGATCCTGGAGATTCGCAACTACTAGGTGAGTTTGCGACCGGTTGCTCATGGACGAGGGTAAGGGACGCCCATGCTAACTGATCCCAGCCAAAATGGGCTATAAACAGGAACTCCGTCGCCAGTATTCCACCGTGCAAATATTCGCCGTCGCGTTCAGTATTATGGGACTAGTGCCATCCATCGCATCTACACTTTCGTTTTCCTTACCCGCCGGGCCTGCAGGGATGATCTGGGTGGGTATCTGCATTTGGGGTTACAGCTCGCGTGACACGAGCTAACATCATGCAGGGCTGGTTTACCGCAAGTATCTTGATCTTCTTTGTTGGATTGGCCCTGGTATGTGGTTCTTCGCCCCTAGTACATGCCAAGCCATGCTAAGATAACGATATAGGCCGATATGGCATCGGGTATGCCCACAGCTGGTGGTCTATACTGGTGGACGCACTACTTCGCTGGAAAGAAGTATAAAAATGCGCTGAGCTTTCTGGTTGGCTACAGCAACACGCTGGGCCTGATCGGCGGAATCTGCTCTGTGGATTGTAAGCTCTCACTGACCCCTAAGACGGAATAGCTGCTAATTGCCAGACACTCTCGCGCTCATGATCCTCGCCTGCGTCTCCATCACCCGCGATGGCAGTTATTCCGCCTCCAATGGCACCATCTACGGCGTCTATGTCGGTCTCATCCTAGTCCACGCCGTCGTCAGCATCTACTCCGGTCCAATCATGCCGCGCATCCAGACATTCTGCATCTTCATCAACATTGCCATTATCATCGCTACAGTCATCGCTCTGCCCGTCGGCAAAGTGACTCGCGGGGAGTCTCTCAACGCAGGCACTTGGGTTTTTGGGCACGTGGACAACGAGAGTACATGGCCAACAGGGTGGAACTTCATCCTCGCCTTCCTCGCGCCAATCTGGTCGATCGGATTCTTCGACTCTTGCGTGCACATGAGCGAGGAAGCCCTCCACGCCGCCAAAGCCGTTCCCCTCGGAATCATCTGGTCCTCTGGATGCGCATGCGTATTTGGATTCCTAGTCCTGAGCATTATCGCCTCGGTCATGAACCCGGACGTCAACGCCACAATCAACTCTGTGTTCGGCCAGCCCATGGCCCAAATCTACTACGACGCACTCGGCAAAAAGGGCGCGCTCGGATTCATGGCCGTGCTAATCGTAATCCAATTTTTAATCGGCCTGAGCCTGGTATGCCTGCCCATCCCCTAGTTCACACTCAACATTTACAATTTACCCAATCTTCAATACTAACCCAACAAATAACAGATCACCGCTGCCTCTCGCCAAGCCTGGGCCTTCTCCCGCGATGGTGCTCTCCCCTTCTCGAACTACTTCCGCCATGTCAGTCGTCGCATCCGCTACCAGCCCGTGCGCGCAATCTGCGGCCTCGTTGCCGTCAGTATCGTTTTCGGCCTCCTCTGCCTCATCAACTCCGTCGCAGCGAACGCACTCTTCTCGCTCTTCGTGGCCAGTAACTACGTCGCGTGGGCGACGCCTATCCTCTGCCGCTTGATCTGGGGCAAGGAGCGCTTCAGGCCCGGAGAGTTCTATACGGGATTCATGAGTCGCCCGATTGCTATTATTGCAGTGCTGTGGTTGGCTTTTGGGTTAATGTTGTCGATGTTTCCCACGACGGGGCCGAATCCGAGTCGTATGTTAATCCCTTTTCCCAGACCCATAAAATTATGGTCATTTTGTGGTGAATTGTGCTAACTTGATGTGTTATAGCATCCGATATGAACTATACTATTGTTATTAACGGGTTCGTGTGGGTCGCGTGCATGACGTACTACTTCCTGTTCGCGCGCAAGTGGTACACAGGGCCGAAGATGACAGTGGACGGGGTAGAAGAGGAGAAGCCAGAGTCAGAGACAGCAGAGAAGAGAGATGAGGCGCATACTAGTGCTTCCTACTAATTATACAGTTTACATATACCAATACTAATAGACAAGAATGAAACAACTTGATATGTTATAATTCAAATCAAAACATCATATACATTGGTATCAATCATCAACCATCCATCATCAAACCCCCTTCAGCTCAATTCAACTGCATCCTTACAAAGCAGCCATAACCCCCAAGACACCCGCAACACCCGCAACCCCCATGCCCAACCCAACTCCCGGCGTCGCCATAGCCACACCCGCCCCCTCACTCGTCGAACTCGTCGCACTAGCACTGGATCCACTAGCAGTACTAGCCGCACTCCCCGTCGCACTCGCCGTACTAGCCGTCAGCGTCGTCTTCCCACTCATCGTCTCCGTACTCGTCGGCTGCCCATTCGACCCCGTCAACGTCGTCGCGCTCTCCCACCGAGAAGTGATCTCCGACGCTACATCCGACGCCTTGGACCGGATATCCGATGCCGCCGCCGACGCATCGGACCGTGCGTCGGACGCCACCGACGTGCCCCACGATTCGGCGTTCGAGGCTACGTCTCCGCCCGCGGACGTCAGGGAGGAGTATGCCGCTGCGCCGCCGGTCGCGACGTCCGAGGCAATGGAGGTCGCGTCGTTGGCGATGTTCGTGGCCAGGGATTCGCCCCCGGATACGGCGGTTTGGGCGATCACGATGGCGTCGCTGACGACGTCTGGGGCGGGGGTGGAGAGGGTGGGGGTTGCCAGGAGGGCGGTGGTGAGGAGGAGGGAGGTGAGGGCGTATTTCATTTTGGTGGTGGTTTTTTTTATTGTGGTGGTGGTGGTGGTGTGTGGAAGGTTTGTATGTATGTATGTGTGTAGTGTGGTGGATTAGATAAAACCCCAAAGTATGTATGGAGAAAGTAGTAGATGTAGATATGATTGATAAGTAGAGAAATATAGGAAGAAAATAGAGCAGGAAAAGCAAAGTATTTATAACCCCAGAGGCTCAAATAAGGATCACCAGGGCAAATACAAGTAATACACACGATTTCCACTGTTATCAACTCTCAACGGGATAAGAATAGCACCATCTGTGCCTAGCCACCACCGTGGCAATGAAAATCCACCAAGGCACCGACGAATAAAATCTCATTGCAAATTGCAAAAGTGGATTGGGGGTCGAACGGTAATTCGACGGAACACGGCATCGTGGCTCCACTATGAGGACATAGGATTTATTTCTTGGGGGTCCACGCCATGCGATTCCATCAGGGCCTTCCTTGGTCAGGTTTGAATGTGGAGAGTAAGTAGACTACTCCATTAATGAGACCAGACCAGAATGGGGCAGTGGGAATGGTGTTGCCTGTGATGACGTTTGCTTTTCGGTTGTTTGCTTGCTTGCTTGCTTGCTTGCTTGCTTGTTAGTTCTGCATGTTATTCGTGGGCTTGGCTTATTTGCTTATGATGTGGTTGAGGTTTTTTTCTTGCATCTTGTTCTTGTTAGTAAACTTGTGGCTGTGGCGTGGCGCGGCTTGACTGTTTTCACACTCAACAGTTGTAGTACTGCAATAAGTACACTGTAGTAGGAGTAGGGAATTGTGCGTACTGCCACCACCGAAATAGAAATTATCCGTGAACTCCGAATCTTGGAAACATCCTGGTTCGTCCGTTGGTTTGGGAAACTGGCTCACATCCCGATTCGCTCTCTTTTTTTGCGGGTTGTGGCTTTGACCGGCTTGCCACCACATGACTTGACTAAGATTTGGGTTCTGCCTGCTCTGCTCTGAGTGTGTCTGTTGTTGAATACCACTGGATATTTTATCTTGGCTCACAGGCAGCACTATACCATAGAATTCTAACCCAAATGTCTGTCTTGAGCTTGTGACTGTCTTGAAATGTCGTACTACACTGATCGGATATATCGGCCCGGATTGGACGGGAGAAGGATCGTCGGAGTTGTTGTGTCTTGGCTTCGGTATTTCTGACGAAAAGCGTTTCATGTGCGTAATTGTTTCTTGGTCGACCTTTCGAGAAAGCGCAGTGTAATGGACTAGACTATAGAGGGAAAAGTTGGGATGTATGGATTCCGGGGGATCCGGGGATGTGGTGAGATTGTTCGCTTATGAAGCAATTGTGCTATGCAGTTACCTAGCATCCTGGATTGTATAGTTGGATTGAAAAGACACCCGTAGCGTGACTGACTGACTGATTGTTTGCTTGCTGGCTGGCTGTTGAGGTTTCAGCTTGCAGAGCATACGTTGTCGTGAAGCCACTTGGGGTCACCGCTGGTGATCTAGATTCAGTCCTGTCATCTGATGGATGAGACCCTTAATGCCTCAGTCAGGGAATGTTGGTGCCTCGGGTGGCTGGCGGTCCTGTGGCCCCTGCCCCTGTAATCTTATCGATGTTCGGCACAACTTTAAGGTTGATCGCACGATGTTGATATCTTTTAAGATGATTATTTATTAACGGAGGTCATTATTGCGAATGATGCAAATTAGTACTTTCGAAAACTTTGTAGTTTTGAATATGCAGCCTGTTCAGACCGCTACTTAGCAAGTAGCCATACCAATTCAAACGGTTAACAAGCTTGCAGTCGCGATTGAGATATAATGCGCAAAAGTGGTCTTGATCAATCAACTGCGATATTGAATATACTATTTCTTCGAAAGCATGCGCACATTGTCCCGGGTCCTTCAGAACCAAGTGTGTACCGCACTTTGCACCAGAACTACTGTCTGGTCATCAGAATATATATTGACTGCTAGCGCAACCGCCGTCGATCGTTAGTATGAAACCACAGACAAATTGGGGATAGTCTCTGCCTTCTAGTAAATGCATGGCCTCAAATGATGGATTGTTAGGTTCTTTAGCTACTAATTACTTCGGGAGGAATAACCACGAGCGCGAGTTCCCTATGGGTGTTGAATCATTATATCGGTGGTTACTGTTTACCATAGCCATGGTTCTCGACCAGATGTCGACAGGTATCGACACTAAGATTAGATCCCCACAGGATGATAAGCTATCGATTTTTTAATTTGATGTCATGGTTATGTCAATGTTGTCTTAGCGTCGTCGCGATATATGAAGAACGAAGTATCCGTAAGAAAAGGCTAATGTTGCTGTTCGGAAGTAACTACGATCGGCGCAAAAGGTGGCTTGAGATCTAAAGGCACTGCTGAGATATGCTCATTCACAGAGTATTAAAACACATCAGAAATTACTTGATCACAGCTTTCAGCGAAGAAAATAAATGGATTCGCTATGTAGCACTATATTAAATGAATAACAACTCAAATTCGACAGCAGAACTCAAAATATCCAACTAAGCATCTTGTCAAGCAGTATCCAGCGGACTCATCCGTACTGCCTTAGTTGGAAGTGTAAGAGCAAACGTTGGGGTTCTTGCTGTACTCAACGCGGGCAGCAATACCCTCACAGCCCTCGTTCCAGCCGGGCTTCTCGACACCAGCATCGGCCCAGATGCTCCAGGCACCCTGGATGCTGTTGGGGCAGGCAATCAGGTCCTTTCCACCGAACTGCAGGTGGTTGTTCTGGTCGATGGACCAGCCCTGGCGTTCACCGTTCTTGGGGGCGGGCTGAGCGCCGGTGGTGTATCCGATCTTGCCTTGGCCTGTGACAAATCAATCCGTATTAGCAAAAAGTACTTTCTATTACACGATAGGAAAGAGGATAAACATACCCATGCCGGAGCGGTCAACGTAGAGCTCCTGGGGAGTCTCAGACTGGTCGTACAGGTAGAGAGCACCGTTGTCGAGGAAGAAGGTGGCGGTCTGGTCCTGGGGGTTGGAGCAGCTAGCGTTCTGGCTCTTGAGGCCGGCGAAGATGCTGCCAAGGGCGGCGTTGAAGGGAGCATACTGAACACCGCTGCCGGAGTGGATGGAAATGACGCCGAAGGGCTGGTTGGTGGCAGCGTCGGTGGCCGGGAGAGCGGCGGCAGTAGCGGCGGCGAAGATGAGGTTCTTGAGCTGCATCTTGAAGGATGGTTTGATATAGAGTTGAGAAGAGTTGGTTTGTTGTTGGTTGGATTTGAAGGATGCGAGAGGCTTGTTGTGATGATGAAGGTCTGATTATCGACGACATCAAGCTACCTTTTATACCTTTCATCTCGCTCGGCCAGCACCATAATTAGTAACGGCCGCTTTACAGCTGTCAATATACAATGTCTCAACCCACAGGCAGTCCCTACTTACCCAGCACAGCAGGTATGCTGTCATCGCCCCCAGAAAGGGCGATTGGTCCGATGGAAGCTTCTATTGGGAGATGATTGCTTTAGTCCAAAATTCAGGGTCCCCCCTCGATGGCAATAAAATGACCTAAATTTAACACGGCGGGGTTTGAAAGGCCTGTTTATTGGCTGTGGCTGGAGGCCATGTGGGTGCCCCTGGCGAGACATCGGAGAAATGGCAACGGTGATTGCAGGAATTCCAGTTAGTGGATTCGCTTCTTATGGGTGAGGGAAATCGATCGGCGCATATGAGACCCACATTAGTACAGACATGTCTCATTCTGGGGGAGGCGGACGGGCCGAGGTGACACCATGAGTTTGTCATTGATTGAGAGGAGTGTCTTACGGGGACGTGGGATGACTGTATGAGGGGTTGATAGTGAGACATACATATATGTTGCAGCCGTGATGGGCGATATAGATAGTCCATTTCGTGGGAGATTATGGGACTGGTAAGAGGGGACGAGGGGGTCGATAGGATAGACCCTTGCGGATTGGTGCGGTGCGATTTCCACAAAGCCTCATCATGGATTGGCAAGCCTCGGGAACAACGACAAGCGAAACCGTTGTCTTAGTTGACTATTTACCCGTTAATTCAGCCGGCGAGGCTGTGATTGAGGTTGTGATGAGTGGCTCTCCCCCTTTCCGATGGCCTTCCGCCGTTGAAGAAATTGTGGGACAATTCCCCACTGATGAGATGGGATCGACAAAGGTATAGTTCGATAGACTCGTTCCTTGTTTTGGGCGAATAAGATCTACTAGCAATTGGAAGTACCTTGTTGATACTACCATTCGGACCTTCGGGGTATCGAGGCCACAGATGAGACTGTATGGGAGGTATCACCCACTCCATTCTTGCTTGTTCTCTCCCTCAGCTACCCGAGAATGTTTTGGAGTCGCACATCGCAGGTAGACTGTCCGTCACCAAGAAGAGTCGTTGCATTCAGATTGATTGTCGGTATTCAGTTGGTGGATTCACGCAGCTTACATCATAGTCACTACCGGTTCGAGCGTGCAGATGTGGCATATACCTCGATTCCAATAGAAGCTAATAGTCCGAAGAAGTCTCTTGGCATGGAGAGGGCTGTTTAGGATGGTGCAGTAGCCGAATGTTGCTCTAAGTGGCATTCTCTCAGTCAGTAATATCTACCTGAGACATTGGAGTCATTCGTACTATTTCCCTAGTGTCAATGGGCAGAGAATGTATGGAACAGACTGGTGATCACAGCTAAAAGGAATTTAGTTTAGAAGCCTAGGCTGATAATCGACTGAGACAGAGATAGTTCTAGATTATTAAAGTCTTGAAGCTGAAAGATACGGGCAGATCACGCAACGAGAGCCCTTCTGTATGGTAATTTAACATTTGGTGCTGCCACGGCATATTAACAGCATATATGATCTATTACGTTACATCATGGATAAAGTATTTCCCTTCCCATAGTGGTTTGGTGCTGATTATGTCTACGCATTCGTCAACTCAGCTTATTCTGTAACAGCAAATACCATCAGCTCGGAACTTGAGCCCGCCGCCTCTCCAAAGCACTCTTCAGTATGTGTTCAATAAGCTCATTATACGAGACATTGTTGTGTTCGGCGATCATGGGCAATTGTGACCAATGTGGAAGAAGACCGGCCAGAGGATTGATCTGAACCATTGTGAGCCAAGGACAAGTAAGTTTGTCAGTTGATCTGCCTACCTCCATGACATGAGCGACTGGCGACCCAGAGGAGCCATCCATCCGTATATCAACTCTTCCTCCATCGCGACAGCGAAGAGCAGTCCATGCTCGAAGAGCTGTTCGACATGCAAGGTCGGCCTCTTGGTCATCCCGACCGACCTTGATCTCGTCTGCCTCTCCAGCCCAATCCTGGGCCGACTTCGACTTTTCAGTGGTGTACTCTACTGTCTCAGGATTAGATTTTGTTGACTCGTTGCTACACCATACTATCTCGTCGACACCGACCACCCATGCATCCTCGCCTGTTCCCAGAATGCCCACGGTGAACTCTCGTCCCGGAAGATACTTCTCGATGAGAACCCCAAGCGATGAGGGGCTAGAATTTCGGAGAGAATGGACCACCTCACATAGGGATTCGATGCTCGTTATTTTGTTGCTGGCTCCAATTCCTTTGGAAGAGCCTTCGGCAAGAGGCTTTGCGAACAACGGGTATTGACTCAGCAGTGTCTCAGAATGGCGAGACATGCGAATCATAGACAGGATCTCATCTAAGGAGACTTGCGCCTTTCCAAGGGTACGATTGAAGTGTATCACTGCAAAGGGGGCGGTCGGGACATTGAAATGCTCAAGGATCATCTATCAAGCCTCCGTTAGCTGCAATGGCCTGAAATAGTCCTAATACCCACTGACCTTTGTTCTGCCCTTGTCCAAACACAATTCCATCGTGGCCGCATCCGAAAACGTGAACGGGATCTGGTAGGCCTCCAACAACGCGGGAACTTGACCTTCTCGGGCTAATCCATGGAGGCCCTCTGTGGTATTAAATGCCAAGTCCCATGTACTACCCTCGCCATTTGCGAGCCTTTTAACCAGAGAATGGATATCTGGGATAAGGACAACCTCATGTCCCAACTTTTCAAGAACTGCAGCTATGTGATCGGCAGCTTCTCCGACCTCAAACCTGTTGCAGTCCACATCTGAATAACCGAGGGCTTTGTAGGCCTCGCGAAGCTCATAAATGAGAGCGATCTTGAGGGATCCGTGAGTCATAACGGCGCGTATTCGGATTGACAGTAGTGTAAGAATCCGTCCGCGTTAGATATCCTGCTTGAGCAATTCTGACAAGTCACGTCCGAAAGCGTAGCCGTACTGCATACGCATAAACCATGTGATTTGGCATACAATTCTCATAGGTGAAGTTGCGGTGTGACTTTCCATCATGCGTCTGCATCCATGCGTGGGCCTATCCAATCACGAAGCTGATCCAGTTTTGCCCTCATGCGAATAAACTCGGGTCCTGAAGATTTATGGCTTGTCTTACGGTGATTGCTTCTAGTTCAACGGATGCGCCTTGTTATGCGGCTAGTGAGATAGCCAAACCCCGGACGGATGGCGTTCGGAGTGGCGAAACCTCCTTTCTGGTAGTTCTTGGAGGTTTTATTTCGAGTATATTAGCCATATAAATGGTGAATAAATATTGAAATACTCTATACTATCATCTGTATCAATTCATGGAACTATTGCAACTTGTTCGGCTACACTTCTCGTCGGCTTTGGTAGGTGTTTGCTGATTGTTACCTCTCGACAAAAAGTGACATTGTAATGAATGCAAGATAATAAATTGAGCTACATTGACACTGGTTCTTGATTAGAGATGTTTCATTATCCTCGCTTTGACTCAATGAAGAAGTGCGTCTCGCTACCATGTCATACTGATGTACTTTTGAACGTCGTCTGTCATTCTATGGCATTCATTCAATCGTCAAAATTGCCCAAGGGGGATTCAATAGCATTCTTTAGGTCAGATTCAAAGATGCAATCTCAAAGAATCTTGTGATCTGGCGCAAGATAGAATGCAGGAATTGTATGGAATGAGGGAGGTGATCAGGACAGATGCTTCCGGCTGGGTACCTGGCAATGAACAACTGACGAATCTAAGAGAATTATGCAAAAGATCAATGCGGGTTTAATCAAAAACTCGGACATTGAGGTGGAGCATTTGTGGTGCTCAATGATCTCCCGCTTGACCATCACAATGCTTAAAGAGCAGTCATCGGCTCGATACAGCTGGATTTGAGGGTAATTGGCTTCTATTTCTAAATCAACCCAATCATGACGTATCTCAGCTCTCTCGGTTACATGAAAGGTTTCGGCTACTACCACCTAATTTGTCCCCACCCTAACAGCTGAAGCCATCCAAACAGCCCTCATGGCCGACCACCGATGATGAAAGCACAAGTCGCAGCAGCGAAGATTATCCGGATAATACAGTCTAAGACATCGTGAATGGTGGCGGGAGTATAGCCTCCCTCATATAGCCTATTCTCGCCACGCCGTGGCTGAAAACATATTTGTCGTCAATTACATGAGTCTCCAAGCAAATGAATGTTTGGCGATAATCAGAATTGCTCAAGACTGTTCGAAGCTGTGAGATGATGTTGCAAATTTGTGTTCCCGGCTAATTAAATAGAGATGCATTATGTCCGAGTCTTCAGGCCGAGAGCATCGGTTAAATGCATGACTACAAATAGTCTGCAGACGCACCCCGCACTTGATGCAACTCATGGTTCAGCGCCTTCAGTACTAACAGCCGGGGTTGAGAATAATGATGTTGCTTCACTTCACGGCATATGCTGCACTAAGCAGTGTAGTAACCGCTGCATTCCTTCAGCCACGGCTGCAAGATGGCTTAGCATTGACACCACAAATGGGGTAGGCTGAGCACGCCTTGACCATATACAGCACTAATACCATTGGCCAGATGGAACACATACAATCACTACTCGTGCTCCCCAAACGAGACCATCGTTCGGTCCAATGCACAAGCATTGGTTGACCTAGGCTTATCATCACTTGGATATCGGTATGTCACGACAGATTGCGGTTGGACGGTCGCAGACCGACTGCCTGACGGATCCTTGACGTGGAATGAAACCCTGTTCCCTCAAGGATTCCCTGCTATGGGTGACTTCCTCCATGACTTGGGCCTCTTGTTCGGAGTGTACCAAGATTCTGGAATTCTGTTATGTGGAAGTCCGCCGAATGAGACAGGAAGCCTGTGTATGCCAACAATCGAGGCCAAATGCGAGAGCGAATTGCTAATCGAGCACCGTAGATCACGAAGCACAAGATGCCAGGACATTTGCCTCGTGGAATGTTGACTCTCTCAAATGTATGTCCATAGTATTCTGCTTGAGTCCACATTCTAATGGGGC